GGAAACTCCTTTGAAACCGCTCTGTACGCGACCATTTAGGTTCTATCTACGGTTCTTTTATTCTTACTTCTCTTTTAATAAAATACTCTGGGGGTCTACCATGAAATGAAATTCCGAATTTTCGGGCTCAATTTCTTTTTTTTCGTACCAAAATCGACCCTATAAATGGAACATTTCATTTGTCATAAATCCTACCATAAAAGTCCAAAGGAACGATACTTTAGTATTTTTAATATTTTTAAACGGTATGTATCAAGTAATTTTAACATCAAATTTTTGTTTCATTCGGATCCGAAATTTCGGAAAACATTTCACGGTAGGCCCTCTGTTTTATCAATAAATTACTGTATTTGTTTTATCGACATTGAGTTTTTTTAAGGGTCTAAAAAGCTTAATAGGAGTGATAAGTTTGAGAAGCGCTGATCTAGACCCTTTTCAGTACACCGTGTAATAATAAACAAGGCGGTCCCGAACAATTCCGAATATTCTTGAGAGAGCAAAAGTTTAACTGCAAAACTCGATCAAGCGTTGTTTCAAAGTCAATACAACAAACTTATTACATAATTAAAATCAACATACGTCTTCTTTATGTTGAAGCCATATTGAATAATTTGATAATATGCGTAATTATATGTTTATATTATATATACATATATATATTGTGTACTTTGTATATATAGCAGGCAATATGCCTTCAGTCTAATAATAATAATAATGATTGTAAATTGTAAGCGTGTGATTCCGGTATAAAATAGACCGCTCTTTACTTTTCCGTAGATGTCGTAAGAGGTCACTAAGGGAAACTTAATGCTCGAGGTAGCAATGGGCAGCAATGCCCCTCTTTAAACATCACCAAGGCCTGATTACGGTTGCTAATCGCCTGTCAAACGTGGCAACTACTGGCAAAAACTGTAAACTGCGGATTGTCCATCATTTGCGTTTCTATATATCATATCAAAACAGCCGTTAGCTGTCCACTGCTGAACATAGGTCTCCGTCTATTGGAGTGTTTTGTCAGTAGTTGCAGAGGAAGACTGTACAAAAGTTGTTTGCTTGGGTACCTCTGTCCCAATCGTGTTTCAACCGTAAAACAGTTGCGTTTGCATGGCTGTGTTTCGGTTTGAAGGGTGGGATATGGCGTGAATTTACAGGGTACAGAGGAATAACATCTGAGTCCTCAGGTAACACAGGGAGGTATAATGGGCAAAACAGTATACTCTGTTATGTCCATGGTACTGCTCATGTCTATAGACGACGGTTACCACTTTCCATCAGGTGGGCCGTCAGCTTGTTTACCATTCTAAGTTGTATAAAAAAAAATTGCCACGCTTGGCCATGCTTGGCTTAGTATCGCAGTTAGGCTTTGGTGATGTTTTAAAAAGGATCCTACTGTCCATCCCTTGACCATTCAGTTTTCTTAGTCGCTCTTTACGACGCCGAGAGGAAAGGAAGAGGTGGCACATTCAATGCGGGGATCACCGTAGTCCTTTATTTATGCTTTAACAACAAAACTTAACTATTTTAAGTTTCAAACCGCGTAGTTAAATTTAGTGACGGCAGTAGGTTCGCCCCCTGCCACGTTCGATTCTAATATACTCGGGGAAATGTGGGTACATCGAGTATTGTATTCACTACGATGATAGTCGATCAGTGTGGTTTTTTTAATGAATGATAATGAAACGGCAACCTCACCTGCACTAATGATGTACACTGGCGGGGCACCAGTGAGGAATGACAGGTGAGAATGTAAAGGTAGGTCAGTTAGCCCATTGTGATGAATACTACTATACTGTACCTGTACTGCTTAGTTTGCTCCCACTTATCAGGCTATTTCTCTGCTTGCTCAGCAGCCAGATATTGATATATTTAATGACAAAATAGATATATTTTTAAAATGTACAAAATTTGTAAGTTTGTAAAATAAACCTATGGCTCACTACACGTTTTGGGAGACTGTAAGTGTGGTGAGTAATTTTCGAATAAATAAATAAATACTCTATCCTTCACGTGTAATCTAAGCATTGGATTTGATTGTTTGCCAATGTAAGTTGCGACCGCAACGTGTACAGAGGAGTTGGCAAACATTAACAAGGTACAGAGTGGTCGGTCGGAATAAAGCGACCTGATTGGATATCTCACTTGAGATGCGTTGTCCTAGTCGAATTTGCCTTCCCATTCAGATTTGAATATAAGAAAATATATAAAAAAAAGGAATTTTTAAACCACTGATAATATGTATTGTTCTATCAGTCGATAATTGACTATTGCTGAATAGAGCCTCTGTCATGAGTTTTTCCAGTATTTGCCACGCTTGGCAGGCAGGTTGGCATCCGCAGTTTGGCTTTAGGTGATGTTTTAAAAGGGACGCTATTGCCTATCCCACCACTGTAAGCTTCCTTAGTAGCCTGTTACTTCTCCCGCGACAAAAGGGTGGCTTATTCCATGCCGGGACCTACAAGACCACAATAATCTGCGAGTACAGAATAAGTAAAAAAAGCAAAATTTTGCATACTGGTTCTATGTGGTTCTATGTAAATAAGGGTTATTTCTTTATTAATGTTTTATTGCAACTATTACTGACAAATACATAAAAAGGTTAAGCCTTTTAGATGTACAATAGGCGCCTTTTCACTCTCTCTCACAAAGGGTGGTCTCTGTTATTTCCAATAAATATTTTATCACAACGTTAACCAGTATATATATATTGCTGCTTAATATATATTTTCTCTTTTAACTTCCAAAAGGAGTTCAGAGTTCTCAATTTGTTTGTATTTTTTTTTGTACCATGAAGGTGGTAAACAAGCATAGCAACATAACAGCCCGTTCGATGGGAAATGGTCACTGTAGCCTATGGACGCTTGCGACACCAGAGGAGTCACGTGCGCGTTGTCGATCCTGAAGAAACCTTAATACATCCTTTTTAAAAACTCCATACTGTTGTTTTTAGAGAAAACATTTGGGCTATGTTGTAGCGTAATTACGACACTATTTTTGAGACATTTTTGTTAATTATTACGAATAAATTGAATTGTAAAATTGAAATTCTTTTTTTAATCGATAGGGTTGTCATTGCTTAATTTTATTACGTCATCATCAATGAAATAGAGCATCTGTAACTACTATATTCTATTTAACCAATAGTAATTTTGTGGCTTCCTCCATCGATTACACATTTCTATTGACCGCCATAGGGGTGAGAGTGTAATGTTTGCTAATTGAATGAGTTTTGGAGGTTGTGATCGGTTATAAATTAAATTGTGGTAGTTCTGCATTGTGCTCACGCCGTGGTGTATGTTCAGCTTAGACAGTTCATAGAATATTATGTTGATACACCTTGTTTGCAAGAAACTCTATTGACATACCGTAATTAATATCATGTGGTTAGGGACAATGGAATTAATACGAAATTTGGGACTCTCCTGTAATGAATCAATCGGTAAATTTCATCGTTCCTGAATGTTGATATGACTAAGTAATCTTATTATACGATTAAACTGGCCTACTTAACTACTTCTGTTCCATTCGTGTTTCTGCTGCCCAGCAGTTGTGCTTCAATGGGTGAACATAGTATGGTAACCCCTCCTGCGTTAACGGGATACGCTGGCGGAGCACCAGTGAAGGGTGATAGATGAGAATGAAAACAGGCCAGTTAGTCCATCATGATGAATTCATCAGGAATTAACCATGATAGTTTTCAGGGGGAACCGCGAGGAGGTCGACCTGGTTTGGTATATTGTTAGCAATGGGATTCTCAGTCTCTATTACTAACAATCCCTTTCCCCCAACAGTTGTGCTTGTATAGCTGTTATAAGGTTTGAAGGGTGGGAGTAGTAGCAGTGAAATTACAGGGCACGGGGGCAAGGCACAGGTGTTCTGTATTGTTCGTAGTGCTGTCCATTTCTATAGCCAATGACTACCACATTTCATCTCTTGAGTTGTCTGCCTGTTTGCCGTCTCCAGTTGTATCATCGTCATCATACCAGCCGTTTACTGTCCATTGCTGAACATAGGCCTCTCCCAAAAGGGGGTTTTCGCCAGTAGTTGCTACGCTTGGCAGGCGGGTTGGCAATCGCAGTTAGGTTTTGGTGGTGTTATAAAAGAGACGCTGCTGCCCATCCCTCGACCATTTGGTTCCTTCACTTAATCCGCTCTTACAATACTCATAGAAAAGGATAGGGTGATCTATTCTGTGCGAGGACCACACAGCAATCCAGTTGTATACAAAAAGGCAATTATGAATACATAAGTTACCAATTTACAACATTTTTTCATTTAATTGTATATAAGTACAAAATCCACCAACTATCTAATATAAGGAAAAAGGTATTATGAAAAGAAAATGCTTAAGAGATTAAGTTTTCGATCGACTGGGCCCATAACCTGTTGACTCGATGACTCGATTAACTTTTCCCCTTTTTTTTACCTTTGACTCGTTAATGTTAATACCACTTGCGAGAGGAATCGATTACGAGTAAATACAATTTATTGTTTACCAATGAAGTTCTGGTGTTTAGAAGAAAAAAATCTTAAGAGATTACGTATCATCGAATGGGCCCATAACCTGTTGACTTGATTAACTTTTCACTGTTATCCTTTTACCTTGTTAATGTAAATACCACCTGTGAGAGCAATCAACTATGAGTAAATAACATTTATTTTTTACCAGTGAAGTTCTGGTGTTTAGAGGAAAAAATTCTTAAGAGATTAAGTTTCATCGAATGGGCCCATAACCTGTTGATTTGATTAACTTTTCACTGTTATCCTTTTGCCTCATTAATGTAAATACCACCTGCGGGAGCAGTTAATTACGAGTAAATACCATTTATTGTTTACTGGTGAAGAAGTTCTAGTGTTTAGAAGAGAAAATGCTTAAAAGATTAAATTTCTGCAAATGGGCCCATAACCTGTTGATTATTTTTTTGTGATTTTCTAGACCTTGATGGTGATAACATGATATCATCTATGCGAGCAATGTGTTAAATCCCATTAATTATTTCCAGGTGGAGAAGTTCGCGTTCGAGGACCACACCCCACCGAATATAGAGCTAATCCAGCCGTTCTGCGAGAGCGTACACAAATGGCTGAACGCGGACCCGAAGAACGTAGCCGCTGTGCATTGTAAGGCGGGCAAGGGGCGGACCGGTAAGGGAATCCAATCATGGACTGTTTGAATAGATCAATATTTTATTCTGTTAAAAATATTGGTGTATATATAGACATTGACATATCAAATCATCATCATCATCATCATTTTAGCCTTTATCGGTCGATTGCATATCAAACAATTCTTACTTATAATAATTATAAACGTGTATGTGAGTTTGTTTGTTTGTTATCTCCTAGCGGTTTTTTGTTTGATGGGTGAAAATGGTATAGTAACCCCGCCTGCGCTAACGGGATTCGCTGGCGGAGCACCAGTGAAGGGTGATCGATGAGAATGAAAACAGGCCAGTTAGCCCTTCATGATGAATTCATCAGGAATTTACCGTGATAGTTTCCAGGGAGAACTTTTTTTTATGTATTTATGATTATATTAGTAAGATTAGATCTTATCTAAAACTAGCTGTTGTCCGCGGCTTTGAACGCTTGGTGTAGTGTTATCCCGTTAAGTTGAAATTTTCAAAAATTCTCTCTTTGTTGATAACTACGTTATAAAATAATCCTATTCCAAATTTTAGTTTTCTAGACTTAGGATGATGTACAGTTAGGACAAATGATTTTTTTAAGTAGCTATAGATACTTGTAAATCATACTGTAACGAGATAATAGTTTAATTTCAAACATTTCTGTAAACTATGTTAGTATATTTAAATTTTTATGGTAAAAGTTTTGAATATTGTTAATGGCGACGATGATAAAAAGGTAATTGTCATGTCAATTTTTATCCATAGACAAATAACATTGTGACTTCTCTGTTTAACTTGTTGCTCTGTGCATTTAAGATTTTTAGAAGTACTCACTTATATCTAAGTTTTTAAATATGTCTGATAATAAAATATACCGGTTGCGTACAGGCTAGTGATTAGCCCTTGCTTCGCACGGGTAGATAGACAGAAAGATAAATTATTATTTTATAATATCTTTAATATAATTTATGATTTAATATGCAAATTTTTGTTACATTGCGCTATATTAATTTGTAATTTTCGTAGGGGCCTATATTTTTTTTTAAATAATATGTAACCTACGTTACTAGCTGATAGTGTTGCTTTTTGTAGATGAAAGAATTGTTGAAATCAGTTGAGTAGTTTTTAAGTTACTTCATTACAAACAATTTTCATACAATCTAATCTTTCCTCTTTGTAATATTAATACAGATAAAAACATTTTTATTATAAACTGAAACAAAATACAAATATTTTAAATGTTATATAGTCGAAATAAGATCTGATTTAGATGCTGAGCATAAGTCAAGGCGAACTATCTAGGCATGTCTTAAAATGCCATAACTCCATTCCTTTGAGCGTGGTGACGAGGACGTTGAAAAGGACATTATACCCTTGTACATATTTTTAAAACGTAAATCCTTTCAAACGTCCAGTGAAAAGATCAATGCTGTCATTCACTATAGTCTTCTATAGCATTTACCAACATTACACCTTTGTCCTTTGTAAACATATGATGCCATTGTTGTGAACAGAAATACCCCTATTGGGACAGTAAAAGAAAAAAATGAATAAATTATTACGTATCAATTTCGTTACAGAGATAATAAAATGTAGTTAGCATAATCGCGCGGTAGCTCGGTAACAAAGGTTAAGGTTCCAAATTACGTGGAGCGCTTTGGGTTTATTGCCTATAGAAATCGTGCGCGAACAAAAAACCGCCCAATCCCCAGTGTGGTAATTGCGAAATTTCTTTACAACACATAATTGGTCGAATTACTGTCGCGCCGCTTTCACGCAAAAGTCGTAAATTTCAAAAAGGGACCCTTTGAAACGGTCGCTTTTTGTGCGGGGCCCCAATAAAAGGCATCAGCCTGTGTACGAGTGCATGTTTAGCTGCAAGCTGGATCATTCGCTACGATAATATAATATTTATTATTATTAATATTTCAGCCGTTATCTGTCCACTGCTGAACATAAGCCTTCCCCATAAAGGGAGTTTTCCTAATAGTTGTCATGCAAGTAACTTTGTACGCAAAGTTAATTGTATTGGGAAGAAAGCGGAAACTGCGTACGGAGTACGAAACGCAAACGCAGTGTAGGATGAACCCCCGCTAGATGGAGTAACTATCTGAAATAAATGGAAGGGTGTCAGTGGATGCAGGTAGCTCAGGACCGTTCTTTACGGCAGTCTATGGGGGAGGCTTATATCCAGCAATGGACGGATAATATGTGAAATGATGATAATGTAGTGTCACTAAGTATTTGGAATATATATAATCAGATGAAAGTATGTATGTAATGGATCTGGTTCCTTCACACAGCGTACAACGCCATCTAGTCGCAAACTAGACATACTTAATGCATATTTAAAAATTATTAATGTTTTCAAATTTGATATCTAAAATGTGGAAAACATCCAGGCCAGTCCAAACATCCATATTGATGTGAGTTATCAAAATATTGGTATTAAAAAAATATATATTGCCTGAATCATACATTTTCAATCGACTTCAAAAAAGGAGGAGGTGCTCAATTTGGTGGTATTTTTTTTATGTTTGTTACCTCAACTTCTTCAGTTATTTTTTGGAAATTATTTTTTTTATCTGAAAGGATACACTTTCAGATTGGTTACATAGCTTTGTCCCATTGATACTAAATTTTATCAAAATTAATTCAATAGTTTAGATTTTAAATTGAAATAACTGTTTATGGATTTATTTCTCTTTCTATAGGTAGGAAAATATGTACCTACTATTTTAATTCTAAATTAATTTGAGAAACTATATGGTCGATATACATATACATAAGAAACAGCCTTAAAATGAAATAAAAATATTGGCGACTATTTAGGGATATATCCTTATGATTACGGGTGGGTAACCATATAGTTATATCTATATATTTTAGTTACAACACCTATATACTGGTCTAATAAAGAATATTTTAAATGTATATTATCAAAAAAAAAAACCGACCGATGTGGGCGATATCGAAACGGGTGATGATCTTTATTCCACCAATAATGTCCAGAGGGAACCACTATATAGATATCGGATTAGTATCTATTATATCCATGCCTACTTTTGATTGAATTACCAATACCCCTGGTTCACCCATGAATATCATCGTGGTTAATTCTAGTGAAATTCGTCACGATGAGCTAACTGATCTGCTTGGGAAAGGGATTGTTAGTAATGGAGACTGAGAATCCCATTGTTAGCAATATACCCAATCAGGTCGACCTCCACGCGTTTCTCCCTGGAAACTATCATGGTTAGTTCTAACTGCTAACGGCTAACTGGCCTGTTTTCATTCTCACCTATCACTACCTACCCTTCACTGGTGCTCCGCCAGTGTATACCGATAGCGCAGACGGGGTTACCATATTATTTTCACCCATCAAAAAAAAAAACTGATCTGCTTTCATCGTCACCTATCATCCCTCACTGGTGCCTCGCCAGTGTATACCGACAGCGCAGGCGAGGTTACCATTCCATTATCATCCATTAAAAAAAAAAATACCGCTTGCATACATCATGTTTTGAATATTCACACGCGCCGTAATATATTTTAGGTACACAATGCGCTGAGGCATTTTGTTTTCTAGTTTTCGAACTGGAATAACTAACACTACATTCCTTCTGAACACTGGTTAATTACATTAAACATTATACATAGAGTCATATATTAATTAGTATTGCAAGGTAAATGTGTACAATCATACGTATTGTTTCTTAATGTGACGCAGCCGGAAATGGGTAAACCATGGCATACGTTGAAAGAGTGACGAATATAGTTTTTTTTTTTTATTGGATGAAAATGGAGTGGTAACCCCGCCTGCGCTAATGGGATACGCTGGCGGGGCACCAGTGAAGGGTGATCGATGAGTATGAAAACAGGCCAGTTAGCCCATCATGATGAATTACTCAGGAATTAATCATGATAGTTTCCAGGGGGAACCGCGAGGTTGTCGACCTGGTTGGGTGGGTATATTGCTAGCAATGGGATTCGTAGTCTCTATTACTAACAATCCCTTTCCCCCCTGACGAATATAATTTAATTAGTAGTTTCCGTGTGGTCCCAGCATAGAATAGGCCACCCCTTCCTTTCAAGTGGGTGTCGTAAGGGGAGATTAGTGATTAAGGGATGGGCAGCAGGGTTCTTCATTCAACATCTCTAAAAACCTAACTGCGGTTACCAGGGAGGAGAAAGGATTGTTAGTAATGAGGATTAGTAGCTCCATTGCTAGCAATATACCCTGCAAGGTCGACCTCCTCGTGGTTTCCCCTGGAAACCATCGTGATTGATTTATTGTTAGATTCGTCACGGTGGGCTAACTGACCTGATTTATCCTCACCTAAAATCCCTCACTGGTGCCCCGCCAGTATATGCCGATGGCGCAGACAGGGTTGCCAATCCATTATCATTCATTAAAAAAAAAACTGCGGTTACCAACCCGCCTGCCAAGCGTGGCAACTACTGGTAAAACTCCCCATGTGAAATAATAAAAAAAAAATCACTTTGAGACATTTAATTGAAATAAAAACTGATTCGGTCTCAGGGTCATTGTGTCTCCTCACCTGTATAAATTACTTTGTTGTCTGTCCGTATTTCTGTCAAGGTCCTTTCTCTCCAGAACTGTGTCAAATTGAAGTTAATACTAAATGTTATATCTCTAAGGTGGATAATATATAGTAATATCTATGTAGTGGAGTTACAATATCTATACATATATTGGCCCGATAACAGATATATATATATATATATATATATATATATTATTATATATATATATCTGTTATCCACAGTATTTTCTTAATTAATTATTATTATTTGAATGGTCATTTTATTCTTTTGGCCGTTTCAGCCGTGAAGAATAGACAAGGGCAGCTGTTGCCCTTTGCATTTTACTGATATATATATGTAAATAATGTTTCAGGTACAATGGTGTGTTGTTATCTACTGTACAGCGGGCAGAAGGCGACGGCAGACGAGGCATTGCAGTTCTATGGAACAAAGAGGACGCACGACGAGAAAGGTGCGTCTAACAAAATCTTTATGCACATTTTATATTTTATAAGAGATGGGAATTAATAAATGATAGTACATACATACATACATATGTGTCACACCTGTCTCCCATTAGGGTAGGCAGAAACAATGGAACGCCATGATAGTCTTATCATTTATTAATTCCTGTCATCAGTCTAATTGTAACCACGAGACAACTCGGGTAAATTATCATAGTTTACATAAAAGATCGCGTTAATTCTAGTCTTTTATTAAATATAAAACATGGAGCGCAAAAGTCTAAAACTTTTTATCACACATTATGTCACATCAGCCATGTCCAAATGTCCACTGCTGAACACAAGCCTCTTCCAAAAGAAGGGGGTTTCCTAGTAATTGTCACGCTTGGCAGGCGGATTGGATTTCAAGAAGGACGCTGCTGCCCATCTTTCGACCATTACGTTCCCTTAATCGCTTCTTACGACACCCACGAAATAGAAGGGGGTGGCCGATTCTATATGCTAGGAGTACACGGCAGAATTTATGTATGTATACATACATACATACATACATACACACATATATATATATATATATATATATATATATATATATATATATATATATATATATATATATATATATATATATATATATATATATATATATATATATATATATATAACACAATTAACAATCTCTGTGTTAGTGACATTCAGAGCATTCTACTCCCATATTTGAAGTCACCTTGAGTCTTTCATCTTGGTGCCCTAAGTTTATTGATAATTTATACTTAGTTTGACGCAATGGAATTGTCATGTTTACAAGGCAAAACGCCTCGAAAAAAAAAAAAACAAATAAAAAGGGACCTTTCAACCTCTAAAAAGTAAATGGATTTTGCGTGTTTGTTTAAAATTATATCGCCTCGAAAAGTTTTATCATAGGCCCTCTATGTACACGTCACAAAGACCCGGTCATTTGAAAGGAGTACTATAATAAAATTGTCTTTGCACCGTCAAATGAATGGACTATTTGAATTGAATTCTTTATCCTTTATATAGGTTTGTTATTATATTTTTCACTGAGCTTGTTGCTATGCGGTATTTCCGCGTACTATTTTTTTTTTGTGTGTGCTATGCTATAATCGTTTTCACATTCAATTCATCAAGGTTTGTCCAGAAATATATTTGTATCTGTGCCCGCTTTAAAATTGTATATATATATCTGATCCGCTTGTGATTGTTCAAGTAAGTTGGTTCACTATTTATATAGTACTCACGCCAAGTGTAGCGGAAACTGTTAAACAATGTGAAATTCAGTGGCTCTCTTATGGGGTCATATAGGAGAATATTTTTAGACAGTTTCCTAGAAGCGGCGAGGTCATGTGATCGATTGATTAATTTCATAGTAGTAGTAGTTAATAGTATTTAAAATAATTATTGAATTATTAAGTTTAGTAATTATTAATATTGAAGTACTCCTTTTCCTATCGTATAAGTATATATATATATATATATATATATATATATATATATATATATATATATATATATATATATATATATATATATATATATATATATATATATATATATATATATATATATATATATATATATATATATATATATATATATATATATATATATATATATATATATATATATATATATATATATATATATATATATATATATATATATATATATATATATATATATATATATATATATATATATATATATATATTATATATGATGGAAAGTGGTAACCGTCGCCTATAGACATGAGCAGTACCATGGACATAACAGAGTATACTGTTTCATCCATGATACCTCCCATGCGTTGCTCTTCCTGACGACTCAGGTGTCATTCCTCTGTACCCAGTAAATTCACGCCATATCCCACCCTTCAAACTGAAACAAAGCCATACAAACACAACTGCTTCACGGTTGAAACACGAATGGGACAGAGGTACCCAAGCAATCGACTTTTGTCCAGTCTCCCTCTGGTTAAATATATATATATATATATATATATATATATATATATATATATATATATATAATAATAATAATAATAACTTTATTGCATAACCATGATTTTAACAAACTCAGCACTGGAAATTACAGTAAAAGTAGATACGAATTCATTTGTACATTTGGATCAGTTTAAACATCTGTGTCTGAACTAGGTTATAAAACCTGTATATACGAGGTTTATATATGTATTATGATTTTTATAAATTAACATAAATAAAAAAAAATTATAGGCTTATAATGTCGAAAGAAGTTAAAAGAAAAGTTATTACTTTAGAAACTAAAATCGAAATTTTGGATCGCTTACGAAAGGGAGATAGAGTAGTAGATGTTGCAAAATCATATAACATGAACGAAGCTACAATAAGAACTATTAGAACAAATGAAAATTTTTATTTTTATTTCTGTGTACACCCAAAAATATTGAAAAAAATCACAGCTGTTAAATAGCAAAATTATGCATTTTCTGCAAGCTTTTCGATTTACACGGTTTTGACTTGAAAATTTTTAATTTTCGATTTACACGTTTTTCTCAGGAACGTATCTACCGTGTAAATCGGGGGATAGGTATATATATATATATATATATATATATATATATATATATATATATATATATATATATATATATATATAAGAAGATACAGACTGACTGACTGACCCATATATGTGTCAACGTATAGCCGAAGCCGAAACTGAACTAAAATATCGTTAGGTTAGAAGTTACGACACGTGAAATTTTATAGAACTAGAAACTGAATAGCGTACGCGAACGAAGCTGCGGGCATAGACTAGTATATTAGTATTTATTATTATCGTTTATATATATATATATATATATATATATATATATATATATATATATATAAACAAACCGCTAAAACAATACATAATTATAGGGGCGAAAGGGATTGTTAGTAATGGAGATTGAGAATCTCATTGCTAGCAATATACCCAACCAGGTCCACCTCCTCGCGGTACCCCCTGGAAACTATCATGATTAATTCTAGATGAATTCATCATGACGAGCTAACTGGCTTGTTTTCATTCTCATCTATCACCCTTCACTGGTGCCCCGCCAGCGTATCCCGTTAGCGCAGGCGGGGTAACCATACCATTTTCATCCATTAAAAAAAATACATAATTATATAATTAAATATTAATTTGGCAGCCACTAAAGTTTGCACAAATAAAATACAAGTAAACAAAACACAAAATTAGACAATACTAAATTAAACAAAATTAAACAAACAAAAACATTTGAAAACTACAGCAACATTGTCAATAATAATGCTCAGAAGTTAATAAAACATTTTTTTTTAAAAACACATTATTTGAGCAATCGACTTTTGTACAAAGTCTCCCTCTGGTACAAAATGTAAATAGATAGATAGATAGATACTCTTTATTGTTTCCTCCAAAAGATTACAACAGTAAACTATATATATACTTATTTACCAGAGGAAGACTTTGTATAAAAGTCGTTTGCTTGTACACCTCTGTCCCATTCGTGTTTCTACCGTGAAGCAGTTGTGTTTTCATGGCTGCGTTTCGGTTTGAAGGGTGGGATATGGCGTGAATTAACAGGGTACAGAGGAAAAACACTTTAGTTTTCAGGAATGGCAACGCATGATGGGTATCATGGGCGAAACAGTATACTCTGTTATGTCCATGGTACTGCTTATATCTATAGGCGACAGTTACCACCTTCCATCAGGTAGACCGTCAAAGCAGCCTTTTTTTTATACGAGGTCTGTCCGGAAAGTTCGTATAAAAGTGTTCTGGAATGCGAGAAAGAGGAGTGGGGAGGCCAGGTAAGCGCAGGACCCCTTCCTTATGTCCCTAACAATGCTTCAGTTCTGGTCTGACCGCCGTGCGGTGCGAACTGGCTTGTCACGCCATCTGTGAAGTTACCTCTTAACGAAACCCCGTCGGCATGGAGCCCGCTTCCGTTGAAGAGCAGCGCGTCGTAATCAAGTTTCTCTCGAAACTCGGCAAGAATGGCCGTGAAATTTTTGCCGATCTCAGAACAGTTTATGGGGATGATGCTGTGAAGGAACCAACCGTCCACAAGTGGCTAAAAGATTCAGAGAGGGCCGAGAAAGAGTTCGATGTTCGGGGGATTGTCCATCAAGAATTCGTCCCTCCAGGCCAGACAGTTGATGGAAAATTCTACGTCGATGTGCTCAGACGCCTCAAAGCTCGTGTGGCACGAGTTCGTCCAGAATTGGCGCGAGAGGGGCGTTGGATTCTTCACCACGACAATGCCCCTGCCCACACCTCTCTTGTTGTCCGTGAGTTTTTGAGTAAAAATTCCATTACGGTGACCGAACACCCCCCCTATTCGCCGGATTTGGCCCCGTGTGACTTCTTCTTGTTCCCAAAAACCAAATTGGTACTTCGGGGGCGGCATTTGGGGGACATAAATGAGATAAAAAAAGCTACGACGGGGCAGCTGAGAAACCTACAACCAGAGGACTTTCAAGGAGCCTTCTCACAGTGGAAACGGCGTTGGCACAAGTGCATTATGTCACAGGGGGAGTACTTTGAAGGGGATAAAATTGATTTACCTGAATAATTGTAAAATAAAATTTTTAAAAAACTTTTATACGTACTTTCCGGACAAACCTCGTATATACACACACACACTTCTCCAACTTTTTTCTTCAATTTGTGTGAAGTTGTGCAATGTCTGTCTAGTCCCGGCATGGAATGGACCACTCCTTCCTTTAGCGTGTCGTAAGAGGCGACTAAAGGAATTTAATGGCATGGCAGTAACGCCCCTCATTAAACAACATCAAAGCCTAACTGCGGTTGCCGGGGGGGGGGGGAGGGATTGTTAGTAATGGGAAGGTTAGTCCCCATTACTGTCAATATACCCTATCAGGTTGACTTTCACGTGGTTCCGCCTGCAAACTATCGTGACTAATTTATCGTTGAATTCGTTACGATGGGCTAATTGACCTGCCCTTTCATCCTCACCTATCACCTCCCAACCTCACCTGTGCTACCGGTACACGCTGGTGGGGCACCAGTGAGGGATGATAGGTGAGGATGAAAGATACAAGAATTAATCAAAATAGTTTCCAGGAAGAACTGCGTAGAGGACGACCTGCTAGGAAGGATTGCTTAGTAAATGGAGCTGTTCGATCTTCATTATCTACTAACAATCCATTATCGACGATTAGGTTAAATTATCCCAACACATACGATGCTTTGGTCACTAATGCAAGCGGACAAACCCGCGGGAAACAGATATGTTTTAAATTGTTTACTTTAATATTTCAGGTGTGACGATCCCCTCGCAGCGGCGCTACGTCGAGTACTACGCCGCGCTGCTTCGCCCCGGCCTCCAGTACACGGCCACGAAGATGTACATTCGCGAGCTGATCATGAGCCCCCCGCCGCAGCTCAACGGCGGCCAGTGCACCATCGAGTTCACCGTCACACAGGCCAAGTCGCAGACAAAGGTGATGGTTGCCCCGTTTATTTGTATAGGGATTTGACTAGAGGGCGCCTCTCTCAATTGCGCCCTGAAATATTGCATATAGTTGTCTACATTAATAAAATGCTTCAAATTGTTCCCAATTAGGGACGGTATTAGCACACCCCTTACATTTTTTACAAAATCGCCACGATCCGTGAGTGATTGTCACAATTACAGAAACAAGTAATAGAATAGAGTAAAAATAATCTTTATTCAAATAGACTTGTTTGTAAGCTCTTTTAAATCGTCAACTGTTTATGATTGTACTGCTGAGTTTGGGATGTTGTTATCTGCTGTGAAGAAAGAAACTCAACGGTTAGATAGATAATTTATTTGCATCACTTACAGCACACAAACAGCAAAAGACAAATGCAAAGTGAAAAAAGATAAAAAAGAGATACATGTACAAAAGATTAAAAAAAAAACCAAAATAAAATCAGAATGTATAAAATTAATAAAAAAATTTTTCTCAACTTTTTGCTTTGCCCTAAAAAGAGCAAAACACTGATATTCTGTTGTGGCCAAAAGTGAGCCGCGAAATACCACTGAAAAAAATAATAATAAAAAAGAAAGAAATATAGATCAAATACATAGTGTGCGTTCGTTATATTCGCTATTTAGAAGAAGGGTAGTCAGAAGTTAATTTCTATCAGTTTCAAGCACTCACAACATAATGAATACCTAAATTATACAAATACAATTAGGTACATAAAAGCATATTAAAGAGGCAACAACAACGGTTACTCTTTTTAAATTAAAGTTATCATTAAGTTCTATTTATATGTATTATTAAATGCAAAATAAAAAAACATAAGCAAACCAGACGGAGGCTTTGTACAAAAGTCGTTTGCTTGGGCATCTATCCCATTCGTGTTTCTACCGTGAAATAGTTATGTTTAATGACTGTGTTTCAGCTTGAAGGGTGGGATATGGCAGAGAATTTACAGGGTACAGAGGAATAATATCTGAGTCTTGAGGAATGGCAACGTATGAGGGTATCATGGGCGAAACAGTATACTTTGTTATGTCCATGGTACTGTTCATGTCTATAGGCGACGGTTACCACTTTCCATCAGGTGGGCCGTCAGCTTGTTTGCCATTCTTAGTTGTATAAAAAAAAATGTATTCTGACTGTAATTGTCAATTCAATGTGTATATGTACTGTTTTGTCTCTTTAGTATTAAATTCTCAGTTCAAAAGAACGTGACAAAACAGTGTAATAGTTGAAATAGGTTTGTAGGGGATTATTATTACTTTTTTTTTTAAAAAATTTTTGTTATAATGTAAATATGTTTTGGTGGTTTGCAGCCACCACCCGGCGTGGCGGTGTGGGGCGGCGGCGGCGAGGTGCGCGTGGCGGTGCGGCTGGCGCACTGCACGCCGCTGCAGGGCGACGTGCGCGTCGACGTCTTCCACAAGCCCAAGATGATGATGCGCAAGGAGAAGCTCTTCCACTTCTGGTTCAACACCTTCTTCGTCGCCGCGCAGGTCGGCGCCCAGCGCATCGACCCGCTGCCCGACAGTACGTATACTCGTTTCTGTATGTTTTGTTTTTATACCATTTGCTGACGGTCCACCTGATGGAGAATGGTTATCGTTGCCTATAGACATGAACAGTACTATGGACATAACAGAGTATACTGTATCGCCCATGATACCCTTCATGCGTTGTTATTCCTTATAATTCAGGTGTAATGCCACTGTACTCTGTCATTTTATTGATTACTTATTTATTCACTTCTAGCGTAGATATTAGATTATAACAGAAATGTACACAGGCAGATTTATCATTTAAAAAGATTTCTTCCAGTCAACTTTGAAATCCTGAAAGGAGAAAGTATCTATAGGGTTTGTATATAAAGCATAACATATATGCTCCAAAAGTAATACGATAAATAATAAATTATATTATTTATAGCTATATAACTAGCAACAGTATTATATATATAATAACTATTATACATAACACTAACTGTCAGTTGTATTATATTGTATTTAAATAATTAATTTCTGTATGATAGTTTTTTTTTATACAACTTAGAATGGCAAACAAGCTGACGGCCCACCTGATGGAAAGTGGTAACTGTCGCTTATAGACATGAGCAGTACCATGCACATAACAGTGTACTGTTTCGCCCATGATACCTCCCATGCGTTGCCATTCCTGAGGACTCGGGTGTTATTCCTCTGTACCCAGTAAATTCACGCCATATCCCACACTTCAAATCGAAACACAGCCATGCAAACACAACTGCTTCGCGGTTGAAACACGAATAGGACAGAGGTACCCAAGCAATCGACTTTTGTACGAAAGTCTCCCTCTGGTTAATGTCACGTGCACGTTGTCGACCCGGAAAACACCTTAATACCCCCCTTTTCTCTCCAGTCTCTAGGGAAACTTCGGCCAGGAGTTATTATCCTGCTAGTATTACAGTTATGAAAGTTTGTATACATGTTGTTATGTTTGGTTGATTATTAAAGTGACCGTTTTGATGTTATTCCAGGCACCAATCAAGAAACTTTCAAATTGACATTAAACAAGTGGCAGTTAGACGACGCGCATAAAGATAAACAACATAAAATATATGCCCCGGAATTCAAGGTATTTTATTTAATTTAATGCAAAAAAATAATTTTGAATACACTATCGAGACTTAACGCGATGCATTTGCTGGTAAATAGTATCTACATATTTACTTCTTTACTGATTAATTTACAAAAAAATATGGGGTGCAATCTCGTATGTATTTATATATATGAGGCTTATAAAATCAGAGGCAGCTAAATGCCATAAAATCTTAAAATGTGTTAACTGTGGCGCCATCTAGTTTAATTAGTTAAACACGCTTTGGTGTATTCAATTTACTAACAAATGCAGCAAAATCTCTAGCGAATTCAGTTCAAAAACTGACATTGGTATCAAATACAGTTACATGTTAACCACTAAGAATCAAATATAGCTAAGAGTTATGTCCGTTAATTAGAGATTTGGTTCTTGGATTTAGCTGTTTGATTACATATATATCTGATTTTTTTTACAAACGTTTCGACGTGCATTTCAAGTTCCCCTGGAAACATTGCGATGAAGATTGTGATTCTGATGAAGAATTCATCGTAACGGGCTAACAGAACTGTTTTCATCCTCACTTATCATCTCTCACTGGTGCCACCATTATATTATTATCCATTAAAATGTAATGATAACCGTGTACGATGGTACTGCCACAGGTGGAGCTAGTGGTGCAGAAGCAGCCCGAGTGCTCGACGTTCAACGCGGCGGCGCGGCCGGCGCGGGCGTCGCGAGCGCCGTCGCCGGCGTCGTCGTCGCCGTCGTCGTCGTGCTCGGAGGCCGACACCGAGCCCGACGCCACCTGGGACTCGGGTGAGCACGACCAGCACGACCAGCACGAGCAGCACGACCAGCTCGAGCAGCACGCGGCCGCCGCGCGTGAGCCGCCGCGTGCGCGTCTCTCGCTCGGCGACGTGCGCGCCTCCTGGCGAGAGTTCAGCGGCAAGTTCGCAGACCATAGGAAAAAAAAGGACAGGGACCACTCGTAGTGTCGGCCGCGGTACTAGTGCGTCGCGGTTACTCGGTATTTGAAGCCCGCTCGGACGTTTTTGTTTTGATGTTTTGTTCGTGGAAATGATTTTCCTTTGCGTATATTGTGTACTCGCTCGAAATGGGTACCCCCTTATTTGTGTAGTGACTGCGATAGTGTGATGATCACATTTTATCTATTGATGTGTTTTATCAGTTTCTTTCAAGGCGATATCGTTGTTACGAGAAAGTGACAAAACCCGCTTATAGTTAAAATAGATTTTACAGATTAATTTTTTTATGAATAAGGAGGTTAGTGTGTTACTATGACGAACTAAAATTATGTCCAAGAGTTTTTTTTTGTTATCGGATTTAGTTCGGGAAGACGAGGCAAAGGAAAATTTTGTCTGCAAACGAAATGTCATTTATTGCGCAGGTGATACACTCGCCGGAGTAGTCGAACGCGATTTGACCCCTGTGCTAACGGAGTAGGGTTCATAATTCATCTACTTGTGGCTGATTGTGATAGCTATTTATGTATATCAGGCTGTGTAAGCACTACGCCCCGGCACGCGTTACTATATGAACACAAAGAGCTCCTAGAAACATATCGTCTTACCACAACAAAGTTTAAATTAAAAATAAAAGGTAATAAAAAGAAGAAATTTTTATAATTAGTACTAATAATTTATAAACTTTGAAACACAAAATTACAAATAAACGCTGTATTAAACAATGACTAAACAATATATTGAATATTGTTGCACTTAGAGTATTGGTAACTTTATTTAAATAGACAGTGTTTTAAATTATTTTTGTGGTAAGACCGACAATGTGCACAAAAATAACGCATTACCTTTCGACACTACACACTAATATCGTAATTAATACGTAAAAATGTAACGAAATAATATTTAGTTAATTTTTAATTTTCTCCCTGTTCACACATTTTAAATTTAAAATCGGACGTAATGCGACGCGATTACAGGTAAATAGTACCTGCATATTTGATTTTTATTGTCACGTTTCGACGTGGATCGCACCACGTCGTGGTCGCGATGGAACTGAAGTGAACGGCGTATTGTCATAAGCAACCCGCGCGATTTCTTCGACTACCCTCACTAATAAATAATAGTATTGGCATATATATTTTTATGTTTTGTTTTATTAGATAATTTACTCAATTATTTTGATATATTTTGTTCATTCAAACACGCGTTGCGTTTTGTTGTAACTAGAATTCCGATAATTTTTGTATCTCTGAACACAAGTACATTAAAAAATGTGGATACAGTTTCGACTTAGTTATTTATAAAATTGTCTTTATAACGTCACAAAGAAATTCATTAATCGCCACTTTGTGAGTAATTATTAAAAAATCTCTTGATGTTTATCATAATTTTATTTCAGCCATTATCCGTCCACTGCTGGACATAAGTCGCCCCCACAGACTGCCATAAAGAATGGTCCTGAGCCACCTGTGTGTTTCATTTATGTTTATATGTAGATATAATGGGAACTTTATCAATGTCTGTCGTTTTCGACAATTTTTTCCATTTCATTCGGAAGTTTTCTTCAAGGGGAGTAAAATAAAATCCCCAGGTCAATTATATCGCTTTAATAAACACTTTCAAACTACCTTTTGCCTAGAATTATAAAAAATATTACGTTTTGATTCGTATAATAGGTATGCATAATATCGGTACCGCTTCGATATCTATATATTGGGTTTTCTGAACATTGATATTGAAAGGTCTTCACCCATTTTAATATCGCCCATACCAGTCGGATATCTGTATTCATTGCAATCGGGAGATTAATTTCGATATTATATTTATTATTATATTTTTCATTGATTTAATATATAGGTATAAAGCGACCTTTTTAATACTACACTGGACAACAGATTAATTGATGCGAATTTCTGTCCCATTATGGATGAATGCCACCGCCTACCACACACTTTCTTTTTACCACCCTTCACATTATACAGTGTTACGTGTCAAGTGTGCAAATGTATACTGTCTTATTCATAAAAAACCTACAAATTTGTTTTAACTATTAATGTTTTATCACTTTCTTTCACATTGACAATTAAAATTGAAAGAAAAGGACAAAACATTTAAATAGTTTAAGACAAGTTTATCGTTTTATTGTTTTTACGAATAAGGGGGTATTGTTAAGCTCTGCGTCGTCCATATAGTAGCGTGTACCATAATAAAGTAAGAAATGATAGCGTTAATCATGTAATTATGTGTAATATAAAACTAAATATAATTATTCAATAAGCGGGAATCGAGCAGTTCTTCCAGATGATCTCTTTAAATTGTTTACGTGTTATATAATGGAGTAAGTAAATTAATGTATAAAGATCTTACGCGGTGTCGTTCACACGATTGACCATGCTTTCTTACATTTTGAGAATAAAAAAAATACTTTTTTTTTTTAACGTGAAATTACTTATTAATAGATTTGCCGAGGTTCTCCTAAGAGACTACAGCATGGAGTTCTTCAATAGGGGGGTAAAAAGGTTTCCTCAGGGTCGGCAACGCGCGCGTAATACCCCTTGGTATTGCAGGTGTTCATAGGTTACAGTAATCAGTTACCGTCAGATGAGCCGTATGCTTGTTTTCCACTTCAGTAGTATAAAAAAATAAATTACTAAAAATAAAACTATAAACCTATTTCAACTATTAGAATATTTTTTCACTGTCTTTCAAATTGGGAATTTAGCGTGAAAGAAAGAGACAAGACAGTTTAATAGCTAAAATAGGTTTATGAGCCCACTTTGAGAATAAAAATAATTTATTCTCAAAGTGGGCAGTAGACAAAATAAGTTTGGGAAACCCTGCTCTATACCTTGTAAATTCACTGCCATGTCACACCCTTCAAACTGAAACACAGCCATGCAAACACAACTGCTTCATGGTTGAAAGACGAATGAGACAGAGGTACCCAAGCAAATGACTTTTGTACAAATTTTACCTCTAGTAGGATAGGATAGGTGTGTTCCGAGTTGCTGCTGAGTTTCACCACCGTACAACTTGCCACAAACTAAAGTTCCATCCCAATCATCTGGACGAGTGGCGGTCCTCCACCGTGCGTTTTTCAAGGCACACTTCTTCCACACACAACCATTATTTGGAATCAATTTCTAGCAGCAGTATTTCCGAACCGATTCGATATCACAACCTTCGAGGAAAGAGCATATTCCTTTTTAAAATGCCGGCAGTACAACTGCAATACCTCTAGTGTTGTGGGTTATCATGGGTGGCGGTAGTTATTTGCCATCAGGTGAGCCGCATGCTTTTTTGTCCCCTGTGTTAGGAAAAAAAGATAGATGGATACTCTTTATTGTTTCCTCCAAAAGATTACAATAGTAAACTTGTTATAGATACAAGATAAAGTTTATATGAAATTAATACAAGCTAAATTTGATAGTTTGTATATATCATATAATTTTGTATCTCTTACTAATTTTAAATCTTATTCCATACATCTAAAAAAAAAATTCAGTTAATGAAGCATTTGGCGTTCCATTGTTTCAGTCTACCCTAATGGGAGACAGGTGTGACAGATATGTATGTATGTATGTATGAGTATACGAAGGAAATTTAAAATAAAATAGTTAATTTTATATTTATCGACGGGATATTCTTAAAATGTTTGTGAAGCATGGTTTTTGTTATTCACTGTCACGGGAATAGGTGTCGGATATATGAAAACTTGAATAGAAAAAAATAAGTTTATTTTTTTATGAAATAAAAAAAAATATGTATATTACTCGAGGTGCTTATTCCTATTTCTAGTCAAGTATTCATTGACATATACATTCGGAAGGTTCTTGGTACGCTAGCGTCGCCATTTGTTGGAAAAAGGGCCTTGTTTATACGTACTTTATGTTGTATTTACCTTATCATTGAAAACCAGAGACAAACTGATGGTAAAAATGTATTTTACTTTTTGTCTATCACTTGGATACCATAAATTTGTTATCTCTATGGGAATTGGTCCAGTTATTAGGCAGTCCATGTAGGCTTCTTATTACAGGAAAAAAGGCGCCAAATTTAGATGGTTAATTAATTTTACGATAATTAAAATATTGATTTTTATATTCTCGAAATACGACTTAAAATATTTACAGTACATTGACCGATATATAGAAATACTATATACTGCTAACAAATATACAGTATGCCAGTTAACGTAAGTCATTCGATAAAAATGGTATTAGTATTCTTTAATTGGGTCTCAGGAATGCTTTTTCTAGAAAAATAAAATTATATTAACAAAAATAAAAAAAAAATGAAATTTTCAAAAAAAGAACAACTTGTTCCTTTATCAACGGTAGTACATAGTACAAAGTATGTATACACTTAAATTATATAGATAAAGCATCGAGCCTTAAAAACGGATCAACTTTTTGTCAGCTAATTGTCAAACTAGCTGACTCGTATTTTTTATCAGTGTTCTATATACTTACGCACATAATGTGTCTTGACGTATTATTTAATAAATAAAATAAATGTTTACTCATTAAAAAGACGCGTCCTCTGTCCCATTCGCGTTTCAACCGTGAAGCAGTTGTGTTTGCATAACTGTGTTTCGGTTTGAAGGGTGGGATATGGCGTGAATTTACTGGGTACAGAGGAATAACACCTGAGTGCACAGGAATGACAACGCAAGGGGGGTATCATGGGCGAAACAGTATACTCTGCTATGTGCATGGTACTGCTCATGTCTATAGGCGACGGTTACCACTTTCCATCAGGTGGGCCGTCAGCTTGTTTGCCATTCTAAGTTGTATAAAAAAAAGCAGAAATCAAAGACATAATACATATAGAAGTTACTATACTACTTATACGGAAGTATTTATGAGTGTTCATCAGTATTTATCACGCAAAATTGTATGAAAAAGTTGAACCGTTTTTCTCAAAGCATTTCTATGGAGACATTCTATCTATATAATTTAAGATGTGTACCAATTTTTTTTTTTGATAGTTGAAAATGGAATGGTAACTCCGCCTGCGCTAACGGGATACACTGGCGGAGCACCAGTGAAGGGTGATAGATGAGAATGAAAACAGGCCAGTTAGCCCATCATGATGAATTCATCAGGAATTAACCATGATAATTTCCAGGGGTAACCGCGAGGAGGTCGACCTGGTTTGGTATATTGCTAGCAATGGGATTCTCAGTCTCCATCACTAACAATCCCTTTCCACCCGATGTATACCTATTATTATATAGTGCTGTCGATACAGATACAAATTGTTCTTTTTTCAAGCTTTTTTTTTTATTTTATTTTATGACAATATAAACTTTTTTTTTCTAAGAAAAAATATTTAAGGACCTCATTAATGAATACTGACACATGTTTTATGGAGTGGTTTACGTTATAACATACTGTATTATGATGTGTTAGCGTCAAGTTAGTTAGTGAAATAACTAAAACAATGTTTGACCAATCGGACTGAATTAGACCACGTCCGCGAGGTCCGCAATGATTTGCCGGATTTGTTTTTTTTTTATTTGTTTTGTTCGATTCTATTCTGATATTAGTGTTGACTATTTGGTGCCGAATAAACTAAACTGATTTTTAAATAAATAATAACGATATTTCTTTTTTTTTCAAGTAAATTAATTAATAATAACCGTTTTTAAATAGTATTTTTTTTTATATTTCCAACATTCTATATAAGATGAATGCTTTTTTTAAAACAGTTGATCCTTACTAGCTATAAGAATTTTGATTGGTTACAATGACTATCGCAAATAGTACAAATAGACAATTGCAATCAATCTCCGTACTCTTAAACAGACCAGTCCCAACAAGCATCACCCGTTCACGAGTATGACGGATAAGCTAGCCACCGTTGTGTTCAACTATATTATTGGAGCACAATAAGCCGGCCTGGATTTTAATTATAAAATTATATTAGATATTTGATTACAAAATTCACTTTGCAAGAAATGGATTGTTTTTCCATTTTTAACATACACTCCCACCGATAAAAAATTAAAAGCGAAATTTTAAAAATATTATTATTACTGTGTATTTGTTTTCTCAGTTTAGTATATGAAAATGATTATGGACAGATTTCAAGTTGCCACAATGCAATAGTGTTCGTAAGGGTTGTGCCTGTTTTAGTCACACGTCATCATGTCATCGTCATTATAAATTTATATTGTGTAGACTTGTATAAATCTAAGTCTGCAATGAAAAATAATATCAAGTATGTAATGGATAATAAGTCGTTTTTATTGTTGAAAAGCTATTGAAACATTATATTTGATGTTTACAGTTTCAGTAATGAAACGGTAACAGGTCAGAAAGTCTCACTTTGCATTATGCCATAACAATTTCATAAATATAAACTTATTCAGTATGAAATATATATTTATATATCTATATCTTAGATTATATAGATAGAGCATCGAGCCTCAAAAATGGGTCAACTTTTTGACTTGTTTTTTTTAAATCAAATTTTCTATTCATATACTTACGCATAAAATGTATCGTCAATGACGTATTATTTAATAAATGCGTGTTTACGCATTAAAAAGATGTTGAAATTGTAAGACAAAATAGTTATTTTGTCTATAGTTATAGAAGTTGTAAAGGAATCACTCATAAGTGTTGAATGAAAAAGTTGACTTGCTTTATTTTTTGAAGCATTTCTATGGAGACTATCTATCTATATAATCTAATATATAAATACAAAGTTATAAATGATTATGGAATGATGACGGAGTGACGGGTTGTGACCGCGTGCGACCGCGCGTGGCCGCGTGTGTACGCATGCGATCGCATGCGACCGCACGCGACCGCACGCGACCGCCCGCGTCCGCCCGCGGCCGCATGTGACGTGGTGTTGTGTGCAGGCCCGGGCTGCGAGCGCGTCGGCCGCTACCGCCAGCTGTCGCCCGACGCGCACACGTAACTATACTCTCTTGTCCGTGTTGCCAGCTCTCACCTGCCACTCCTCGCCGTACATGTCTGTGTGCTTCCTGCCACCGCTTACCATTCACGGCTTGTGTCCAACGATTTTGTATATAGTTTTATCCACGGTATATTATTAGCACGCTTGTGATCAATAAAATATTGTAAATGAATGTCTATAACAGAGTTACTGTTAAAAATAACTATCATCTTTTAAAATTAACTATGTTACAGTTACCTATTCTGGCTTTACACACGTTTTCTTTAGTTGCTTGAGTAGTTTTTTTTTTTGTACAACTTAGAATGGCAAACAAGCTGACGGCCCACCTGATGGAAAGTGGTAACCGTCGCCTATAGACATGAGCAGTAGCATGGACATAACAGAGTATACTGTTTCGCCCATGATACTTCCCATGCGTTGCCATTCCTGAGGACTCAGGTGTTATTCCTCTGTACCCTGTAAATTCACGCCAGTAGTGACTGTTTTTGTTTCGAAATCGTGCTACACGATTCAATTCAGTAATAAATTCAGTGTAATCGAGTCGGTATTTTTAATTCAAAATGATACCGAGTTTGTTTTTTTTTATTTTTTATTCTAGTACAAACAGTCATTACAAAATAGATATAGTTATGTAGTTGTTTGGAGGAAATAAATAACAACTAACTTGACATATAATGAGAAAATGACACCAGAATTGAATGTAGAAAGTAAACGTCGCTGTCATGTCTGTACGTCCAGTCCGAAAGATAGAAAGAGGTGAAATATCTATGTACATTTTAATTAACCTACTTGATGGAAAAGAAAGTAATGATGTTGACAAGTGGCTATGAGATGAATATTTACAATATTTATTTACAGACGCCACAGTTACATAAAAAAAAAATACATGCATGTTTGTTATTAAAGTTTTTTTTTTTTTAATAAAATGTCCAATTGTATATTTTATGTAGAAAATGATCGTTTTATTGATCACAAGTAAAGTTCAGCATTGCATAGCATTTCATTATATTCGAAACGTGCATGAAAGTATATGCACATGAGTATACCGGTGGATGCATTCGATGGAACACATTCACATCGAAATTGGAATCATAAATACAGAGTGATGCTTTTATTCGTCATAAACGCAATTGTAAAGTGTCGAAGTTCGAACAATCAAGAGTGCATTTCTTATGTTAACATCAAATTTTTGTTTCGTTCATCTCTGAACATTGTTAATAGTGCAATAGAATTACTACCTTATTCATTATTGGCGTGAATTTACTGGGTACAGAGGAATAACACCTGAGTCCTCAGGAATGGCAACGCATGGGGGTATCATGGGCGAAACAGTATACTGTGTTATGTCCATGGTACTGCTCATGTTTATAGGTGACGGTTACCACTTTCCATCAGGTAGGCCGTCAGCTTGTTTGCCATTTAAGTTGTATAATATATATATATATATATATATATATATATATATATATATATATATATATATATATATATATATATATATATATATATATATATATATATATAAACAAAAAATGTAATAAACCCAATTGCCTCTATTTTTTTTTAATTTACTGATTGTTAATTTAATCCATAAATGATCACTTAGTTTATTTGCATTACTTACAGCACACTAATAACCACAGATATAAATAAACATACGTCAAAAATGTATGAAAAAATATATATATACAAAGAAAGAGGAAAATATATAAAAGAAGTAACAATAATTTTCCTTTCGTGCCTGTTTTATAGTAACACAAAATGGTCACAACTCTGTTTATTGCTTTGCCTTAAAAAAGAGCAAATTATTGATATTCAGTTGTGGTCAAAAGCTTCGTTTAAATTAATTGAAACAATTTTCTGTTTATCAGAGCACTAATGGGTTTTTTTTTTGTCAATGTAATTAAAATATTAATATTACTATTTTATATTTTTAGATAGACTTAAGTCGCCTTTTTCAAGCGACTTCAAAAAGCAGGATGTTCTCAATTTGTATGGTTGTATGTTTTTGTTTGTTACCCCATAACTCCGTCAGTTCAGTAAACCTATTTGGACTTTTCTCTTTTTTTTTTTTATTTGAAAGGATATACCATATTAACGGATTGGACCCATAGAAAATTTATTAAAATCGTTTCAGTATTAACTAAAGTTTTTAAATTAAAATAACTCGTTTTACCACAATTGAGGTCGGTTTTTTTTGTGGAATTCAAATTAATTATTATATAATATTTACTTTAATAATACATATACTGTTTTCATTAGAACCTGCTTGTCTCCAAACTAGCTTGCATTATGTTTGTGATGTTCCCTTTTCCGCTTATATGATTGTTTTCATCCATTTTTCAACCCACGTACATTTTATGTTCAAGTGTGTTCTCATTATTGCTTTTTCCAACTTGATCGATAATCCAGATCATCCATAAATGTAAAATAAACTGTATTTTTTTTATATAATAACGTTCATTTTAGCATAATAATAAACAACTTATAATTTTCATTATACATAATTTTTTAATCCTTTTATTTGTAAAAAAAAAAATGTCAAATATCTAACAAACAGCTTTCAGCTATAGAAATATTTGAAGTGTTTTTTTTTTTTTTTTTTAATAAATTATATTAGTTTTTATAAATGAGTACGTAAATGTACAATGATTGTTTATATACCATATGTGGACACCTCGGGTTTCTTCAGACGAATTGAGATAACATCGAGAGAGATTACGGTGTGGTTTACAGTGGATCACAGAGAGATTTTTTTTTATATTTATATTTATATATATATGTATAACTGGAATTTTATTAATTTACCATGTTAGTCGTTTCCGAAAATTATTACGATTTCATCCGGAAATCTTCAGGGCAAGTACGGCGTTTTGAGTCACAGACAGCGTCTCGTCTCGCACGTCCGGATTCCCGTTAGTTCATAAAACTGCTTCGTAAAATTCCCGTTATACATTTATATAGACATCGTAAAAAGTCGAAGATATGGTTTAAAAATAAATAAATATTTTATATAAATTCCGTTTAAATTTTTATAATATATTTATACTTATAATAATTTTTGCGGGTATTTTAAGTTTCGTATTACAAGTGAGTTCACCTAATCTCGATCATCTGTCTGCGATCTATCATTTTGTATATTGAACGTGTATGTGTGTTTATTTGTCACATTTATTTATGTGTTATAATGTTTGTGCTTGTTTTCATGTGCATGCTGTTTTTTTTATTGTGAAATAATGCTGTTATTAAATATCTTTATTGTTTACTAGTGGACACTAAGTGGCCTGTTCAAATTATATATATATTTTTTTTATATATTTATTTAGTCACCAATTAAAAGAGTTTGACAGTTTTCCATTTCGAGACCTCAGGCATCATTTAAGTTATATTAAAAAAATGGTAATTTTTATATATAAAAAGATTCCAATGCACTTAATTTAAAAATTTGAAAACAAGAAACAGAATAATTCGATTGAAGAAAAAAACAATTCGAATTATTTATCGTTATTACATTTCTTATTCAGAATGTAATATTTAGTGAATATTTAGTGAAAAAGAAACTTTTTTGTAATTTTGTATCTACCAAAAAAAAAAAACATAAAAAATAACAATAGTCTCATTGTCATTCTAATTTCTGTTTTGCACTACCGCTGTCCACTTATTACTTCCTATACCACCGCGTTAGATTGACTGGAAGAGATCTCTTCTAGAGATAAGTTCACTTTTGCCTACATTGTTTCTAATTGTTATTATTACTGTATGTTTGAATGCAATAAAGAACATTTATATATTTAAAATTCGATTGAATGGGCTCTGTTTCTAATTTCCTTCTTATCTCTGATCATGTATCAATGATGTTCAGCTAGCTATACTCTGATGATCATTGACATTAAAATGACTTTCAAATGACAGCATTATTTCACGTAATCAGTGGACTGACATTATAAATTGCATATCAGTCTCGTAATCAACAATGCAACCTTTTAACGAACTTAACAACTGAGGGCCTACCATGAAATATTTTCCGAAATTTCGGGGACGAACGAAATAGAAATTTGATGTTAAAATTACATAATACATGCCGTTTAAAATATTTAAAAATATTAAAATATCATTCCTCTGGTCTATTAGGATAGGATTTATGATGAATGAAACGTTAAGCTCCATTTACTGGGTCAATTTAGTTACGAACAAAAACACGAATTTGAGCGCGAAAATTCGGAATTTCATTTCATGGTAGGCCCCCTGATATGTAATCACGTGGTTGTTTTGGTGATAACGGACTGGAGGATAGTTTCGTGTTATTGTTTGTTTTTTTTTTTTTTATAAATAAAAATGTGGTTTATTATTTGTAACACGGATCTATTCGTTGAGTCAATTCGCACAATGATTCTTAATTATCATTGCCTTGAAGTTTAATTCAATACCAATCGATCGAGTAATGTTATGACGTAATAATTAATATTTAATTTATAAAATTTATTAATGTATTAAAAAAATCTAATTATCAATATCTCGTTGAGTTAATTTATGAATTTCAATTTCTTTTTTTATACTATTTGTGCAGAGGAACCTACTAAAAGGGATTTCCGGAAATTCCTACGGGAACGGAATAAAAAGATTTCGCGCGGAAAAGGATTAGAATTGAATTGAGCAAAATAAATAGAATATTTATCTAATTCATTCTTAAATTTGTTTACGTTAACTTCTAATAACATTTTGCAATGCATTAAATATTATTATTTTTTACAATTCGGATAATTTCGTTATAAAATCATGTAAGTACATAATCATTGTTAAAATGCCTCTATTTATTTTTATTAAGATAATTCTTCCATTTTAACATAATGTGCCCAATGGGGTCTACTCGTACATTTTCTTTTTTTTTTATGCAACTTAGAATAGCAAAAAAGCTGACGGCCCACCTGATGGAAATTGGTATTGGTACTGTCGTCGCCTATAGACATGAACAGTAAATATTTCTATAATAGTATAATATTCAATTTCAATCAATTAATAGCTATGTGTAACATTTCAAAAAAAATATAAATATGAAGTTTTGAAAAATAGTATTTGAAGTTTGTGTGAATTGACCCTAATACGTGTAACTTGTGTGAATTGACTCTAATACGTGTAACTGTCACCCAGTCCTGACCTTGTGTGTGTGGAGTGTGTTTTGTGTAAATATATTCATTAAATTGTCTCATCCATCCATTTTGTATCTCTAACCCCCCCATACATTCGCTGTACATCGATCGCTTAGCACAATATGAACGCATTACACATGCCACATACAGATTCTTGTTTTTTTTTTTTAATTTAAAATTCAATCAAAGCACAAAATTGTACGCACACTTTGATTTCTTGGCTTTCAAAAATAGAACGCGTTATTTGATAATGAATACATTAACATGATATTACAATATCGATCGCTTGCATTTATTAAATTAATTTTAATGTACAGTCGAACGAGAAAAAAAAAATAATATAAATATTTTGATCGTTATTCGATTTAAATCGTTGTTTTATTCATAAACGTGAGACCAGGAAGTACAAAGTTGGTAATCTGTATGTGGCGTGTGTTCGTTCAACATGCTTATATAGGTTTCTTACATTTTTCAGGTGAATCCACATACTTGTGAGGGTGACACGGGATTGGTGACCTCTTCACTCTTCTATAAATAATCCTGCTTTCCCCTCATAAATGGCAAGGCTAGAATCTAACATGGTGACTCTGTGACTTATCTAGAAGCCTTAGTGATTACGCGAAACAGTGTTCTGTGTTGTGTATTAATATAAACATGGTGGGTAGCACCGCGCGTGCGCGGCTGTGATTGTGATAGTGTTACACGGACAATGGACGCGGTGACGAGTCAGTACTAAATATGGCTACCTCGGTGTAAAAATAAAAAAAAAAACATAATTCTTTCCCTTCGTTACTTGAATCTTAGTAGAGTATGGTCACAAGGTAAGATACGATGTCTGACTGAGTACATTGAATAAGTGTTACCCGGTTATAATTATGTTGTAGCGCTACCGGTATAAAGTTCCCGATCCCTGTGGTATCGGGGACTTGTTGCAACTTCATACTTAATTCTTGAGCCAGGTAACAGCTTTTGGTTTCGTGGCTATAAATACATAGACTAAGAGCAGTGGCAGCCGTTTGAATGTTTGAAAATGGAAACGAATCAATGTTGCCACTAAACAGGAAATCGAACTTAGAGTTAATATAACCGGCCAGTGTTTGTCCTTCAATTAACGACATTTGTAACTTAAATATATACATATATATATATATATATATATATATATTTTTAAATTGAAACCTGTATATACATACTATGTTTATATTTGATATAATGTCAATAATGTTTTTGTGTTCAATTAAATGTACCCATCTGTTTTGGATTTTTTACATATCAGTTAGATTTGGTTTTATTCCATGTACTCTTGTTTAAAAAAAAGGAGAAATATAAAAATGCTTTTGTAGCAATATTGGGGAGATATGAGATGGCAGATTCCAATTTGCGGTGCTTTTGTTATAAATGAATATTTCATTGACCATGTATGTAATGTTGATATGTATTTTAACTTGCAAGACCTGTGTGAATTTTATATCCTTTCGCTTTAGTATTTGGCCATCAGGACACAATGTGTGACGAAACATGTTTTTTTTTATAAAAAAAAAATTACATGCAATAATTTGCAAAAGTATTCAGGAAAGGGTATAATGAACTTGTTTATTAAACATGTTTAATTTAAGAATTTCTTGTCATTACCTATATTAGTTAGTGGTTGTTGACCTCTTGAACATCACAATGTTACAAAATAGTCTAATAACTGGCCACTTTTAAAAGAAAATCTCAATTCTAAATTTAAATTTTTTATTATCTATTTTTTTTATTTATTGTCATTGTTGGCTAGTGAACCATAGATTTTTTTTTTATAATTGGACGATTCTAAATGCGGCTAAGTAATGTACAGGCGGTCATGGCCACCTAATATGTATGAACTTCTATTTGTCATACTGGTAATTTCTATTAGGTAATTCTATATATAATTTTTTAATATTTGCTAATTATTAAAGAATTATTTGCCGTACGGCGAGGCAGTACTTCCCACCCTTATTGACTAAGTCCCGACGGACAGTTTTATTTTTTACGAGTAACTATATAGTACAGAGAGATCTCAGCGGCTATCGTCATAATTAGTGTATATAAGCTGCAAGTTGAACGCTATGGAGTTTCAGTGTTGTGGCAATATTAGTTTTATTTTGTTTCAATAGTGGCTATTAGTTACAATAATTCAAAAATAGCATAGAAAATATTATATATTTTGTCTATGATCTGGTATTCCCCAAATGTAAAAAAAAAGTTTATAACTTATAATTGACGTCACCCATATGTCGGGTATTAAATATGCCTTCGTGCTTAGCTGAAAACTGCACTTTTCCCCCACTTGATTAGCTTTGTTCATAATGGGTATCATTAATTCGAAACTTGTTGAAAAGACACGCTGGACAACCAACAGTTGTACTCAATTTATTATACTTACCTGCATAATCGCGATAATTCCCGTATTATATAATTACAATGAGCTTGTAATTATATTATTTCCTTCTTATATAATAGAATTACATTGATTCCCCTGCCATATAATTACATGGATTCCCGTCTCTTATAATTACATCGATTCCCGTGTCATATAATTACCTTAATTCCCTTGTCATAATTACATCGATTCCCGTGTCATAAAATTACATCGATTCTCGTGTCAAAGAATTACATGGATTCCAGTGTCTTAGAATTACATGGATTCCCGTCTCATATAATTACATAAATTCCCGTGTCATAGAATTACATTGATTCCTGTTTTATATAATTGTATCGTGTTAATTCCCGTCACTTACAGTTATATTCTTTCCTGCGCTCTATTGTTATTCAATAAAACGATATTGTCACTATTCAAGTGAAATTGCATAGTGCACACTTGGCTAGTAAAGTGACTTCCAACAAAATTAGACCCGTTACGCGGTTACTGTATCTGAACGACAAATTAGTAATAGTACATTACTGCAGCGGCCAGCAACTGAGGCATTGATGGACGAACGTGCAAATGTGGAGCGAGGCGTAGCCGAGGCCCACATACGTGAGTCCATCAATGCCTAGTTGTGGCCAAGGCTTGTATAGTACTTTTCTCAAACAATGCGCGGAAATCAAAAACACAATTTTACTTTTTAAGTTCAATGACGAATAACGAATAATAATAATTTTTCACGCGCCGATGGACTCACGTATGTGTGCCTCGGCTACGCCTCGGCCCACATTTGCACGGTCGTCCATCAATGCCTCAGTTGCTGGCCGCTGCAGTAATGTACTATTTCACCGCCTATGATTATAATATTTGTCAGTGTAAATAATCCTAATTTTTAACAAAAAAAATAGATTTCTACTAAATTAACAAATATTTTTTTCCTAGAACATCTTTTTTAGGTTTATACCCACCACAGGCGCCCCCAAAAACTTTATATATATAAAATTTATTTAAATTGTAATATGTCAAGATAAATAATGATGTTACTTTAAGATCTGTTATTATACATGATTTATTATGTCCACATATCATGGTAAATTCGTTTGAAGGTTACGTCATTGAATGGTGGAGTTCATTTTATGATAGTTTTATTTAATTCCCACTCAGCGTGATCATAAAATTAGGTCGTAGTACAAAATTATTTTTAGCTCGTGTTCTGCATAGTAATAGGTTCGGTGTTGAGATGGTTAAACGATATGATATGCAGCAGAATCTGTATTTTTTACATTTCTCATAGTTACCAATAGATATATGTTAATTGCATATTTAAAAAAAAACGGATTTACTTGAAAAGTACGAATGCGTGCAGGTGGCACGTAAGATTTCTCTAGTGTTATAATAATCGTCATGTCGGACGTTATCTGTCCACTGCTGAACATAGGCTTCTACCACAGATTGTCACAAGGAACGGTCCTGAGCCACCCGCATCCACTGATTCCCTGCAATGCATTTGAAGTCGCCACTCCACCTAGTGGAGGGTTGTTTTACACTGTATTTTCCTATACGAGGTTGCCTCTCAAGAACCTTTCTTCCCTATCGGTTATTGGTTATTCGGGCTATTAATGTTCCATCCCAACCATTTTAATGGGTGGTGATTCTCCACCGTGCGTTTTTCAAGACACTTTCCCCCCTCATTTTATCTTAAATATCTCCCATACACAGAAATTGTCCAGTTACAATTTTATTATATTATTAAGACTTAAAATATGTTATTGTTGTATCAGCCTTTAACTGTCCACTGCTGAACATAGCCTCCCCCATAAGGGAGGGTTTGCCAGTAGTTGCCACTCTTGGCAGGCGGATTGGCAATCGCAGTTTGGCTTTTGGTGATGTTTTAAGAGGGACGCTGCTGCCCATCTCTTGACCTTTAAATTCCCTTAGTAGCCTCTTACAAGACACCCACGAGAAAGGAAGGGGTGGTTTATTCTATGCCGGGACCTACACGGCGAACTTTAGCTTAAAATATGTACTATTTATTTGGGGGCGCCGCTGATTCGTCTAAATATAAAGTATCCAGTTCTATTAATGGTCTATTACAGTGATACGGTGTCTATTATCTAATAATTAAATAAAAAAAAAAAAAACAAAATAGCATGGAAGGATCTGCATATAATGGTGCCAAGTCAGTCGCAGTAATAAGGGTTCGACTTACTGTTTTATTGAATTTACATGGGTGAATTTAAACTCTTGCACAGTTTCTTAAATTATTTCTTAAAGTATTTGTGTCTTTTTTTATTTTTATTTTTTATTTTTATTTTATGTGCAGTCACGATGCTGGGAACAGTTGTATTGTTTTTTAATTAACTTTTCAGAATGTCTCAATATTAATTATAATCTTTTGACACTAGTACCAATCGTTCACTTTTGAAAAATTTAACATAATTTGGTTGAATTTTAACAGTAAGATTTTTTTACTGTCTTATTTGCAGAAAAGAATTTTTGATCAGTTGGGTTCACTGTTGACATACGTATTATTTACAAGGCATATCAATCCAAAACTCAGTGATAGTATTCATCACTGAGTTTTGAGTTTGTGTGCTTTTAACCTAATCCTGTACATAATTATGTATATTACAGCCCTCTAATTAATCTAAAGTACTTTTTGATTGCAAAAAATAGCACTGAAGAAAACTCAGCCAATCCAAAACTTGATTGTAGTGTCGGTGAGTTTTGGGTTCACATATTCATTATGGGGTAACCCACTGATTTGAATAAAAAATAAAAAAAAAAATCTGTCAGTTGTTCCCAAAATCAACACTGTTTTTCCCAAAAGGAGCGTTCACCTCTATTTTTATGTTTTAATTGTAAATATTATCGTTCGGTACGTTAGTGTTAGCGCAGATCTGTACTAGTTTAAGTAGCCGTCTTTTGTTGAGTGCACACGTTGACCGGCCTGTGAGAGCGTACTGTGTTGCAAGAACCTAAAGATTTACTAGGAGATTTAAAAACTTGTGCTTATGCTTTGTATAACCCACCGAGTCGAATAGGCCACTCGCACTAAGAGCCTAATATTTATATTAGTAAATTTAAATTGGTGGATTACATAAATCTTATTCGTGTAAAGTGGGGTTTATAATTCACTAAACGAGGCACTTTCCCTAGCGGCATTATATTTATTTTTTGTTTTCTTAACACTGACTTAACGAAGTGTTAACTTGGATTTAAATATCTAATTATATCAAATAATTATATCTAAATCCAAATGAAGTTAATTTTCAAATGTATTGTAATACAAATGATTCTATTTAAATTTAGATCGGGAGAGAAAATATTTATTTAAATCAATATTCTCTGTTTCAACCATAATGAGACAAATTTCAAATTTGCGTATTTTTTTCTGTAAATATATACTCAACGCGTATATAAATGCAAATTATACAAAATTCAATATAAATATGTAAAATACAAAAATAAATTTTGTTGCCTATAAGCAAGTTACTCATTCTGTTAACAGATGTTAAATGGCAAAATGCAAAATGTATGAGGTTGACAGTAGTTAACGAGTAGATACGTGGTATATTTTCATTTGTTTATATAAGCAGCTACAGGTTATGTCAATATCGTATGTTCATGGTTACGCTCATACAAAGTGCAAAATGTATGAAATTGACGTGGTCAACTCCATATATTTTGCGTTATTCCTTTAAATCTCATCACTAATATAATGTTATTCTGTTTATATGTTTAGAAGTACATTCGCTAAAAAAAAGTTTAAAATATTGCAATATTTAAAGGTTTCTATATAATACCATAAATACTAAATAAATTACATAGCGCTCTCTCCCAAACATGAGTTTATTATGAATTACAAAGTCAATGTATTAACTTTAGGTTATATAGATAGAGCATCGAGTCTCAAAAACGGGTCAACTTTTTGTCAGCTAATTGTCAAATTAGCTGACTCGTTTGTTCTATATACTTATACATAAAATGTATTTTGACGTATTATTTAATAAACGAAATGAGTGTTTACGCATTATAAAGGTGTAGAATTTATAAGACAAAATAAATATAGAAGTTATAAAGGAATCACTCATAACTTTTTTCACGCAAAAATCTGTGAAAAAGTTGACCTGTTTTTCTCGAAACATTTCTATGGAGACACTCTATCGATATAATTCGCGGACGGTCAACGTGTGTAATTTTTTTTTTCACAAAATTGGTTAATATATGGCAGGATTGACAGATCCGTAGCACGGTTTCCGTTTTTTGTTTCTATGACGTTTCAGGAATGGTATATAAAATGGTTAATGGTGACAGGTAAAATTCATAAGTTGCAAGTAAACAGTCCACCTAGACATGTGGCAAAAGAATCTATCGATATACTCGTTATCACTAGCGATTCCCTAAGATAGAATGAGACGGCAACAGCCGGTGTCTCGTTCTTTCTTATGCGACTGCTAATCGAAACCGACTCTATCGTTACCGTTTACCATTTTTCTAGGAAGACTGGACCGATCTTGATTGTAAACATCTGTAAAATTAGAATTATTTTTAGAGTACGATATCTCACAATCGACCCCATTGCGAATAGGTCGAATGGTATCGAAATAGTGGGCCAGTTTGATGCACCCTTAAATAGATGCCATTTGAAACTGTTACTGTTGTGTAGTGATGCTTTATGTCATAAGGTTGGTACACAAGTATAGTGTTTGTGTTAACAAAGTGCAAGAAAATTATTGGACATTCGTATTTAAAAAAAATACTGGCAACATATAAATATACTCTCTTTATGGTAACAAATGTAATTCGAAATTTAAAATCACTACTTAGCATAATATTTTTTTTAACATTTATAATAAATTATTGTCAAATGTCCATCGTAAATCTTTAATGGTTGCCAACATTGTAGTGTAACCTTCTTATTCATAAAAACGTCAAATCTATTTTAGCTATTGAACTATTTTGTCTCTTTCTTTTTAGTTTAATTTTCAATTTGAAAGAAAGTGTCAAAACAGTGTAAATAGTTCAAATAGATTTGTAGAGAATTTAAGTTTTTACGATTGAGGGAATAAGTCTTGCTGTCCTGCTATTTCGAATCGCCGACCTTTTGCTCCATTATTAAAATTGAATTTTAACTCTAAGATTGCATTTAATTGAAATGGAACTGTGCGCCAGTAATTTAGTTGTTAATCGATTTTTAATTGTATTGTATGATGCGAGTAGGTAGATATTTATTTATCAAATAAAGTACGAAAGGCTCTGGTGATTCGTGTTCAGAATGCGAAAGGATTTTACTGAAATGCCAATAATATTATGACTTTTATACCTAAAGTATTATAATGATTAATAATGAATTGGCGTCCCAATGTGATGAGGAGAACGGAGATGTGAAGAGATTGAGTTCAAAACGTGATCGATTTTTTAAAAGTAACTGTTTACCTGGTATTTTGGTCAAATTCAATAGGTTTATACATTAAGGAATGGTTAACGTAGATTAGATTAGTTCGTTAATGTAAGATAGGTTAAGAGCGTCATAGAAATCATCAGAACGTGAATATGAGCTGCAATGATTATATTTAAATTTATAAAACTGTTAGTTTTTCGGTTCGTTTAGGCTTTATGGATTTAGTTCTTTTTTTTTTTTTTAAATAAGACTAAGGAGTCACTTGAATGCTTCCAGTTCGAATGTTTTATGGGTTCGCGCATACTACAGACGAGTGTGTAGCGCAATGTCGATTGACGGCGAGGAATTGGAAATGTGGTAATTTATATATTTTATAACCTTTTTTTTTTTTCAATTTTGTATTGGATTTAACAGACTTGACACTATAAAAATCAATTCGCTTAATCGTTTTGTAATATATTTGTTTTCAAGTGCGATCTGCTGTAGCTATGTTGTTTACTAAGACAGATCACAAATGACAAATGGATTTATTGGGAATATTTATAAAAGAATAAAAAATTTGTTATAAATCACAAAATTTATAAACCTTTTTTTTTTTTTAATAAATATTGTAGTTTGCAATGTTAATAGTTATTATGTTTAATTGAACGCACAATTCGATCAGTCCAATTTGTAATTGTCATTTGAGCGGCGCACGCGCAGTCTGTAGTGTGCGCGCACACTAAAAGATCATGAACATAACATTTTCGCGTTGTTAGTTTATAATTTATTTTATAAATGTGTCGCTTGGGAACGCATCGTCGTTCTATATTAAGTATTTGACTCTGATTCGTTTGGAACGTGTCGATCCAACATTGTACATAACGGACGGCGAATTCTTAATTGCATTGTGTTCTCAACTGTTTGTTATATTAATATAAGCAGCAAATACAATCTACTTGGCGTCCGCATTATATACGATACACATATTATATCAACAAGTACAAATTTAGGTCTCGTTAGAGTTTTCCGTCTACGGCGAGATGGAGGTGACTAAGTCATAACTTATTTCTCTTGATAATTTTTACTTTTAAATTTTTTTTTTATGGACCCCCCCACTAGTGTTAAATATCTTTTCCATAATTAATGTAGATTTTCGAATTTGTTGACCAATTTCGTTATAGGTTTTTCGCTCGATTCCCTTCCCCCTCCCCCTTACATCAAAGGTTTAGCTTTAAAAGATTGTTGTTTGCCTTATAAAAAAATGTGATCTTATGATGATTATACTTAAAGGATGTCGCAGAACGCCCCCTCGCAGATGTTTGCCCTTCGATTGTTTCAACTGTTGTTTAAATGTTTCAACTGTTGGTTAAAGGCTTTAAAATCATCTTTGTCTATGGAAACATCGAATTTGTTATATAAGGAATGGTCGAACATTATGACAGTTTTTTTTTTTATTTATAACCAGTGAATTTATTCGTTTTAATAACTATGACACTAATTATTATATAATTTAGGCACTATTTCTTTTACTTATAAAAATGTCAAACGTCTGATGAACCTATTTCTAATATGAATAAAACATATAAAAATAGTCCATTGTCACCAGTAGTATCCCACTGTTGGGCACAGGTGTACGAATGCTCTATTATTTTACCGGACAACGGCAAAGTCTGCGAGGGTGGCGCGTATGAAAGAATATGCCTTGTATAATAATATAACACGATGAATTATGTAATATAATAAGACAATGCGCGATATAAAGATAGGCTCAGTAGAGGATACTGTCAATTGCGATACAGTGTAGAAGCGCAAAGGGCTTTATTGGTGCTGTCGAACGGTTGCACTCAGGTTGCACCGGGGCCGGAACACATCTTGACATAAAATCGGGTTTTTACCATACTCACATTATTTACGAAACAGATCACGTTGTTTTGTATTCGTAAAGTATGATTTACAATAAAATATGTATCGTGAACACTTGTTTTGGCATAGATTTTTTTTTAATGAAAACGGGGGCTAAGGAAAAAAAGGAAACATTCTACCAGATGTCGCTAGTAGAGATGTCAAAATGTATGGGATTGACAGTTGTGCTAATTTCGAAATTGGAACAATTCAGTTGTTACAATGATAATTATAACCAATGAGCTTTAACTGCAAATAATACATAACTAATATTTATATAAAAGTCAAGGACCAGTTATTTATGTGTGTGTTTGTCAAACCCATACACGTCTTGCATCTCATTCTATTTCATGCGTACGATAGATGTACATGCATTGAGAAATAAGTTTGTTTGAAAATTATAAGAGAGTTTAAAATTCAAATTGCTAATATAGATCTGTTTAAACTTGATCTTAAAAACTACAATGTATATTAAATCCGATTCCTGACTTTGGTACAGATGTGTTTTGGCTTAAAGGTCATCAACGAGGAAATGTTTGTAATATATTGTGATTTGATAAGAGAGGGCATTAATGTAAGCAGTTTATCGCCAACTAACGGTCAGACGATTAATGGGACAAGGCTTAAGGCAGAATGAAAAGTTACAGTCTTGGCAATTGCTGTTTCTCATTTCCTAATCTGACCCTGGCATGAATGTGTTGCATGATTTCATGTAAATTAGAGGTTAATTATGGAGTCGTAAATAATATAACACTTTGTGATGGATTTATTTTAATATAATAAGCTATGTATTTAAATTGACATTCGGTTCTGTCTAGTAACTTAGGTACAATACTATAGTTCGTCAACTTTGTATTCGGCACTCCTGAACGGCGACAGATGTCTACCGCTGCTGTATTAGTATGGGCGAGTGTGCTTTTCTCCGCTATAATACATAACACCCGCGCAGACGTCTTTCCAGGGAGTGCTGCGTGTAAACTTGACGGGTTATACCTGAATCAGTCACAAAGCGTTATTTCAAAATATTTCTTCTCTTTCTAGACGATGGTGCAACTAGACTTCGACTATTAGATATAGATTAGAAATTGTGTGACACGAATTACTTCAATGTTTTTATTCTCGCCGCAAACTAGTAAAGCCCTCTCCGCATTAAAATGGAATATAAAACTTTTTTATGAATCGTAAGAAACATTAGTTCCACAACAATATGTAAATTTTTCTTATAGTAAGTAAAAGATCTCATAAGTCTTATATTTGTTTTGTCTTTTTTATATTTTGAAGGAACTATGGCAATGTCGAGTGATTAAAGACAACCTATGTAAAATAAAATATATTGATGTATATAATTTGGTGTTTCATTTGCGAGAGTGCTTTTTTTTTATTATAACTTAGAATGGCAAACAAGTTGACGGCCTACCTGATGGAAAGTGGTAACCGTCGCCTATAGACATATTCCTCTGTACCCTGTAAATTCACGCCATATCCCACCCTTCAAACCGAAACACAGCCATGCAAACACAACTGCTTCATAGATGAAACACGATATATTTATATATTAGTTCAACAGTATGTAAATACTGGTACAGTAACGAATATATTAAATATCTCCTTATCCAGAACATAATATTGGATAACACTTTTACCATATTCGAAAAGAGACATCCGATCGATATGGGCGATATTGAAATGGATGATTGCCGTATAGATATCGGATCGGTATTTCATGCCTAATGATTATCAGACCTGTGATGTTTAAACATGGGAAATATGGACACCGCTCAAATATCTCTATTTTGGTTTCCTGTGGATATCGATAGCGGTAAAACAGTTCATCGCCCATTTTTATAAACACCGTACTAATCGTACATATATTTATTTTTATTTCGTTTGGATTCTTCGATTTATTGGATAGCCTATATTTAATATTACCTACATCAGGTTATACTAGTGGTTGGCGGGGTGCCAACAAGAGATGATAGATGAGGATGAAGCCAAATCGGCCCACCGTAACGAATTAGGAGTTAACCACGATGATTACCAGGTAGAACCGCGAGGTTGATCTGACAACCGCGAGGTGTACGTTGCCAGCGACGGAACGGGGGAGGGGTGCTTTTTTTTGATGGGTGAAAATGGTATGGTAGCCCCGCCTGCGCTAACGGGATACGCTGGTGGAGCACCAGTGAAAAGTGATCTATGAGAATGAAAAAGGCCAGTTAGCCCATCATGATGAATTCATCAGAAATTAACCATGATAATTTCCAGGGGGGACCGCGAGGAGGTCGACCTGGTTGGGTATATTGCTAGCAATGGGATTCCCAGTCTCCATTACTAACAATCCCTTTCCCCCCGGGGGAGGGGTGTTAGTAATGCGGACTACTAGTCCCATTGCTAGCAATATAACCTGTCAGGTTGATAATACGTGGTTTCTCTGAAAACAATCGTGCTGATTTTCAAGCGTATTTAGAGTACGTTATACAAAGTCTATGATTTATACTGTAACATTCACATGAAGGGTGTCATGAGCGACACTGTATACTCTGTTGTGTCCATGGTACTGTTCATATCTATAGGTGACTTATCACTTTCAAAAGGGGGGTAGAGAGATTTCTTCAGGGTCGGCGACGAACGCGTAATACCTCTGGTATTGCAGGTGTTCATAGGCTACGGTAACCACTTACCATCAGGTGGACCGTATGCTTGTTTGCCACCTCAGTGGCATAAAATTTTTTTTTTGATGTGTACTATCAGGTTCTTTGCCACTTTAAATTACATAAAAAACAAACATTTTGGGTTTAATGAATCACGATTATGAGCAGATAATTAGTATTCAAGCATAAACTACCTTCTTTTTATTTAAAATCCATAGTAATATTGATGGTTGACTGGTAGAGAACACCGTCCGGTGTTAAGTCCGCCATATGTACACAGTTTCACTGTGCATTAAATAAATAAACAATATTTTAGACACTGCTTTGTCTGATGCTGTAGTTTCCCTTGTATCTGAGTAGTTTTTCATTCGATATTATTATTATATATGTTATATATATATATATATTGTTCAAGATTAGACATCATAGTTGTTTTAATAAAAGTTAAATTTTTCGCACTTGCAATATTAGAACCATAGATATAGACCGTTTAACCGCTAGAAGGTCAAACATTCAAATTTTGTTAACGGATAGAACTACACGCACTTTTGTATTTATTTTAATTTATTATAAAACTTGAGGCACGGACAAGCATTTCATTTCAACCAAGAGCTTCTCACCTTCAAGCGCAAACATACGTGTTTTGGACCTTCGTTGCCGAATAATAATACGCAAAGTACGAGTCAGCGACCATTGGACTCATCGTATGCCAATTCATCGCACAAGTTTTGGACTACGAGAAGTGAGAAGACATCTAGTAAGGATCGAGGTTAAGGCGTCGGAGGAGCAGCAGCAGACAGCAATCGTCCATAAACGCATTCCGGAACGGTCTGCCATCCTCCCTAACCCCATCTCCTTCGCTTCAATTGTGTCACACCGTGCCTTTAGTCACGTTACAATTCTTGTGTTCAGCAATAAGAAGCAGCTTTGTGTCGCAGCTAGCACAGGCTGATCTTACAGACCAAGAATCAAACGTAAGTACCTTCATAATTTGCCAAAATGAGTATAAATGAGGCTAGTGTTAAAATAAATCGTGAAAGATCCCCTAATAGGCTAGTCGCTAATAATGAAAACGATAATGAATTGCTAAAGGATCTAGTCAAGACGCGTGGCATATTAAAAAGCAGGCTTACTAAATTTTCTAATGCCGTTAGTGATATTACCCTCGAACAATTAACTAATCAAAAATGCGCCGATGTAAAATTACGCATGCAAGGTGTTACGAGCTTATTTACAGAGTTTAGCGGTGTTCAAACAAAAATCGAAAAAATTGTACGAGATTCAGATTTAGATTCGCAGCTGACGCAACGAGAATTGTTTGAAGATTGCTATTATCATGCACTAGCTCAAGCTGAATGTTTGCTCAAATCGGTAGAGGTCACTAGCGCGTCCAGTAAGGGCAGTAATAGGGCGTCACAGTCTATAAAACTTCCGACCATCTCTCTACCTGTATATGACGGAACGTATGAGCATTGGATCGAATACAGAGACATTTTTCTATCTCTAGTACACAATTCCGACGAAATTAGCGATATTCAGAAATTCCACTACCTAAAATCGTCACTAAAGGGAAGCGCGGAGTTAGTTATCGATTCCTTAGAATTCTCTGCTAGTAACTATGTGGTAGCATGGGAACTACTTCTCAACAGATACAACAATAGCAGTCTGTTGGTGCATAACCACGTTAAGGCCTTATTCACTATTCAAAAACTTTCTAAGGAATCACCACATGCACTCAGAAAACTGACAGATATTATTCTTAGAAATTTACGCGCATTAAAAATATTAGGTGAGCCTACTGAGTACTGGGATACGTTAATTATATTTATTATAACGTCTAAGTTAGATGAAACCACCGAACGTGAATGGGAACAATTTAAATGCACCACACGAAAATATATTAATGATATTTCTTCACTGAAGGTAGATGATTTACTCATGTTCCTTAGAGACAAGGCTGACATGTTGGAAACATTGCTAGTTTCACACAGAGTTAACAGTGACGTTAAAACTCAAAACGCGACTTTACAACAATCGTCACATTATCCGTCACATAAAACATCACATCATAAAGTGCACTGCAATGTTTCCACCAATAAGTCACAGCAAGGTCGAATCACGTCTACTAAGAAATCGTGTTTAATGTGTAACGCCGATCATCCACTTTATTCATGTCAAACATTTTTGGACACTAACTTAGACGCTAAACTGCAATTTATAACCGCAAATAAATTATGTGAGAACTGTTTACGTCCAGGGCATTCAGTTAGTATGTGCAAATTTGGACCTTGCAGACTGTGTTTTAAAAAACACAACACGCTTATTCATAATAACGTGACTGATCGAGTAGCGGTCGTATCAATGCATCTAGCCGACAACGAAACCCCGGGTTCTAGTCAAATGACCCCCGCGACCGTCGCACCGCCCGCGCAGTCCATCCCCGCGCAAATTCATTCGTCTCGAGTAAACAGTACACACATAGATAATTTTAATTTAATTCACAAACAATCTACTATGCGACCCGTTTTATTGTCTACAGCTATAGTCGAGATAGCCGATAGGTACAATAAGTTTCACTTAGCACGCGCGCTTCTCGACTGTGGTAGTCAACATTGTTTTATTTCTAAACCACTATGCGATTTAATTAATATAAATTTAATACAGTCCACTTGCGAAATTCGAGGTGTCGGCAACACAGTAACAACGTCATCACAGATATGTGATATCGAGATCAAATCACGCATTGACAATTACTCCGCACGCATTAAATGTTTTGTGTTGCCGCACATTACATCTACGCTATCTACTGCTATGTATAGTCAACGCGCGCAGTCTTTTATGATACCTGACTATATACAGCTGGCTGATCCACAATATTATGAATCTCAAAATATTGATATTTTAATAGGCGCAGACTTATTTTGGGACTTATTATGCGAGGGTAAAATGAGATTACCCAATGGACCCTTTTTACAAAATACAAGGTTAGGTTGGATTATTTCAGGGCCTATTGAGTTTAACACGCACAATATCAATACGTCTGTCCAATGTAACTTCACTCAATCTATTGACACTCAGTTACGACGGTTTTGGGAGTTAGAAGAGGTGCCTAAAACTAGTGACATACAGACTGACGAAGAACGCTCTTGTGAGGAAGCTTTCATTCGTACTACCACGCGCAATAGTGACGGAAGGTTTTGCGTCAGCTTGCCACTGAAACAGTCGCCATCTGTTTTGGGTGAATCTTTGTCACAAGCTGAACGTCGTTTTTTGGCACTAGAGAGGCAATTAGAACGTAATTCTAACTATAAAAATTATATATTGAATTTATACACGAATACATCGAATTAGGTCATATGACGCGAGTAACTTCATATGGAACCCCACACTATTTTTTACCTCATCACGGCGTGTATCGTGAGCACAGCAGCACAACAAAACTTCGCGTGGTGTTCGATGCAAGTGCCGCCACAAGTAGTGGAGTGTCTTTAAATGACATTCAACAAGTCGGACCTCCCTTGCAGCGTGATTTAGTTGACATCCTGCTTCGTTTCAGACAACATAGATACACTGCTTGTGCAGACGTCGAAAAGATGTACAGGCAGTGTCTCTTAAACGAATTACAACGCGATCTCCAGTTGATTGTGTGGCGTGACAACCCATCTGAACCGTTAGGTATTTACCGACTGAATACGGTAACGTATGGGACAGCCTCCGCACCGTTTCTTAGTGTTAGGTGTCTAAAGCAGCTGGCACTCGAATGTAAGGACTCAGCCGTCCAACAAATAATTTTAAATGATTTTTATGTAGATGATATGATTACAGGTTCAGATGACAAGCAGGAGTTGCTTGTACTCTGTAAGAAGGTCACAGATGTCTTAAGTTCTGGAGGATTTCACTTAAGAAAATGGATATTTAATTTTAAATGTGATGAATTGTTGGTTCATCAAATTCCAAATAATAACGCATCACAGGAATTAACATTAGGAGAAAATGTTCAGTGCAAGACATTAGGTCTTGGATGGTACTATGCATCAGACGAGTTTTATTTTAATACTCAAGTTAAAGTTGATACGTACAAGATTAGTAAACGAACCATTTTATCGCACGTTTCTCAAATATTTGATCCATTGGGATTATTAAGTCCGACCATTATAATAGCCAAAGTTTTATTGCAAAAACTATGGTTATTACAACTAGGATGGGATGATGAGGTACCGCGAGACGTGTTGCGCGCATGGACCGTATTTGTAAAGGGCTTATCAATGCTTAATACCATCCGCATACCCCGTCATGTTATAGCTAACGAAGCGATATGTACAGAGCTACACATCTTTACCGATGCATCGCAGACTGCGTACGGCGCTTGCATCTACGTTCGAACAGTAACTAATAACGGACTTGTATCGGTAAAATTGTTATGTTCAAAGGGTAAGGTTGCACCTTTAAAACCTGTCAGTATCCCGCGACTAGAATTATGTGGAGCTTTACTTGGGGCTCGACTTTATGATAAAGTAATTAACTCACTTCGTCGTCATTTTGATAACATCATGTTTTGGACTGACTCGACCATAGTACTAGGATGGTTACACATGTCGCCTAATTTACAAAAACTTTTGTACAAAATAGAACGGCAGAAATACATGAGTTGGCGAAGGAACTTCCATGGCGTCATGTCAGTGGGAAGGAAAACCCAGCTGATCTGGTCTCGCGCGGTGTTCAGATGGAGGACCTTTCATCTTCTACTTTATGGTGGGAAGGCCCATCTTTTCTTCGTCACACTAACTTCAGTTGCAATAATGTACCGTTAAATTCATTTGACTCTCAGCAACTATTGCCTGAGCTGAAATCCAGTGTGACACATTCCTACGCTACTGATCAAGACTGCGAACGTACATTATTTCCATTTGTTAGATTTTCTCAATATAGTCGCATGAGACGAACTGTCGCATATATACAACGTTTTATCCATAATACGCGCAATAAAAATACTCAACGGTCAGGTACTCTCCCTGTCGATGAATTGAGGGAATCTGATATAACTTTGGCTCGACTGTCTCAACTAGAATCGTTTCCAGATGAGTATAGGTTACTCACAAATAATAGTACTCTAGTTAATAAGCATAATTTGTCTAAATTAAATTTATTTATTGATAAAAATAAACTAATTCGTGTTGGTGGTCGGATTGTAAATTCTCCCGACTTTAATTTTGATAAAAAACATCCGATTTTAATTTCATCTAAACATATTTTCTCCCTACTACTATTCAGACACGAACACAAGCAGTTGTTGCACGCAGCTCCACAGGCGCTTCTTTATAACTTACGTGAAACGTGGTGGCCAATTGGCGGTAGAAACTTAGCAAGGAAGGTTGTTTATGATTGCATTATTTGTAAACGCTTGAGAGGTATGACCCCTACTCCCCTTATGGGAGATTTACCAAAGGAACGCTTAACTTCGGGCTTTCCTTTTTTATGCGTTCTGGGGTGACTACGCCGGACCAATGCTCATACTTAATCGTAAGGGTAAAGGTGCTAGGACGACAAAATGCTATGTGTGCTTATTTATTTGTTTTGTAACGCGCGCTGTACATTTAGAACTCGTCAGTGACTTATCAACAGATGCATATTTATTAGCGTTAAAGAGATTTATATCTAGGCGTGGCAAACCATGTGAGATTTTTTCTGATAATGGTAGAAATTTTGTTGGATTGATGAATGACTTTAAACATTTTTTATATATATATATATAGAATATTATTCACATATATATATATATATATATATATATATATAGTAGGAAACGCGCACTTAACCTACGAGGAGTTCAGTACAGTGTTGACACAAATTGAAGCGGTCCTGAACTCCCGTCCTTTAAGCCCTATGTCCTCAGATCCACAAGATTTGTCGCCTCTTAGTCCAGGCCATTTTCTGGTGGGACGTCCACTTACTGCGCCTGCTAGTGATGACTTCACTGAGACGCCTGTTCATCGACTGACACGTTATCAACGAGTTGAGCAGATTCGACAGCAATTTTGGTCCCGTTGGGCGAAGGAATACGTGTCAGAACTTCAAATAAGGACTAAAGGAAGGAAGAACACACTTGAACTGCAGCCTGATATGCTAGTAGTTATTAAGGACGACAACCTACCGCCGCTAAAATGGCATCTCGGTCGAATAGTGAAGATCTTCCCTGGCAAAGACGGCATCACTAGAGTAGCCGATATTCGCACATCGTCAGGTGTCGTGAGACGCGCTTACAGCAAGATATGTCCCTTACTTGATGACTAATTCTAGTTTTGAAGTTTTAAAATTGAAAGCTGAAGCTTTCAAGGCCGGGGCATGTTCAAGATTAGACATCATAGTTGTTTTAATAAAAGTTAAATTTTTCGCACTTGCAATATTAGAACCATAGATATAGACCGTTTAACCGCTAGAAGGTCAAACATTCAAATTTTGTTAACGGATAGAACTACACGCACTTTTGTATTTATTTTAATTTATTATAAAACTTGAGGCACGGACAAGCATTTCATTTCAACCAAGAGCTTCTCACCTTCAAGCGCAAACAATATATATATATATATATATATATATATATATATATATATATATATATAAACATAAACATATATATATATATATATATATATATATATATAATAAACAAATAAATAAATTCATTATAAAAATTCTTTAATTCATAATAGTAATACAGATGTCAGAAAATAATTAAAATTAGGTACATTTGAATATGTCCTTACACACTAGGTAGATTGTTACAATTATGTCATTAGTCGAACGTTTAGGCTCTGTACATTGAGAGACGAAAATTTACTATACAATTGTTTTTACAATTTATAAGAAATTTTGTATCACAAATTATTTCCTGAATTGTTATAAAGATCACTTCCATTCACTATATTGTTATAATATATATATATATATATATATATATATATATATATATATATATATATATATATATATATATACTGTTACTTAACCCCCTATAACACGTTTTCATATTACGCGATTTCAACCCCTCGTATAACACGGGTATTCCCCCATAAACACAGGGATTGAACATTCTATTAAACAAAGATGTCGGTGGAACGTTAACTCAGATAGTTCAGACAGCGAATAAACGAGTAATAAAACTGTTGATTTATTTGAAATTAACTGTTTGTAGTTACATATGTATAAGTTTTTATTATTTAAACTGTTCTTCATAAAATAGTTTTTCCTTAATATTTGATTTGAATCTCTTTTAGCGAGAAAAGATAAACGTGAATCATTTGTACATAACGCGTTATACGAGGTCGTACAAGCGCGTTATACGAGATCGTACAAGCGCGTTATACGAGAATACGCCTACAACGCGGAACGAATCTATCGTGTTATAGGGGGGATTAATGTATATTGTTTTATTTAACATTCCTATACTGTGAATTTCAGGACATTTGGCATATGCCTGTTTCAGATCACTATTTCAATTGAGGTGCTTTTTTAAATATGGAACTTGATAATGAGTAGAAAAAGTATTACATATTTTTTAAATTGTCTACGTATTGTCTTCATGCGACATTGGAAGTAATTTATATAGCAATTTTTATTGATTGTAAAATAATTTTGTACGTATACCACTATATAGCTCCCCTGCCTCTACCTCTGCCTCTAAATCCGCCTCTACCTCTAGGTCTAGCCCCTTTGTTAGTGTTAGGAGGACTTTTAGGCCTCAGTGCCTCGATTCGTTCTGTACAACCTGTACTTTCCCTTCCTTCGGTGAAATTCGAAGCATAGAGTTCAGCGTTAAAATTTGAGTTTGTCAGCTCATGTCCAATGGTAACCCAACCTGGTCTGATTGTGGAGTCTCGTCCAAATAAATGGATTCTGAAAGAAAGAAATATTTTTATTCAAATAAAGTTAGATTTATTTTTTTGAATCATCATTTTCCATAACCATCCATTTGGAAAACGATTTCACCCAAGAACTTGGGCAAGAAACTCGGCTGTTATTTTTTTAAAAAGTTTAATTATATAAATAATGAATTTGTGTGAATACAAACTACTACTACTGTAATTTAATTTATATTATTAGAAGATTTTTTTAAAAGAAAAAAAAAACAATCATGTACATTCGAGTTTGTTGCCAGATCTTCTCGGTTGAAAATGCTGAAATGAATGGTAGCGCTAAAAAATTATGACATGATCAGGCTAGCAGCACACCTGCAATTCCTCTAGTGTTAGCAGGTGCCTATGGGCAGTGGTAATCACTTACCATCAGGTGAGCCGCATGCTCGTTTGCCTCCTATGTTATAAAAGTCATGTTTAACTGATCAAAAATGTCGTATATGAATAAATTATTTCGATTTGTATGTAACACTGGTCATATAAAGAATTTCAGACTAGTTTCCTTTTGGCTTATAAACCATAAGCGAGAGTGATGCCTTTGATGACGTAAGTATCAATAAAATTAAACAATACACCTATATTTTAATTTTTACTATATATATATATATATATATAGGGGTGGGGTAGGGGATATATAAGGGTCTTAGACATTCTAAAAAGTTCTTAAATGACAATGTTGAGGGATGGGATAAACTCATCTACAGCGGTGGCAGACAACAGGCAAGACTCATTATGGGCGCCCTAACTGGACATATGTCAATAAGGCATATACTACACAAGATGGGTCTATCTTTGGACACACTGTGCAGATTGTGTGGAGAGAAATTGGAATCCATAGAACACTTGATGTGCAACTGCGATTTGTTGGCAAGTATGCGTATGAGTCTACTGGGAATGGCTTATCCAGAGCCAGAAGACTATAGATATCTTAAACTGCGAGATATCGTTAAGGTAATATATAGGATCTATGAAATGATGGTATAAGGCAAGGGGAAACACAAAAGATCCCAATGGGTCGACGTGCAACGGCTTAGCTGACCCCATATGCGAATATAAGACCCCTTATGGGAGCTGGTGTGAAGATAAAAGTATAATTTAGTTTGAAATAACATACCTTCTTCGCCCTAAACAAAAATGTTCCATAATGTGGAATATTTCAATCGGTTTTTCGGTACTACCAAATTCAGGGTCTTCTGAAATGATTAGATCAATATCAACATTCGCATGGATGAAGTCTCCATCGACGGATCTTCGGACCGTCCCCTTAATTCCCATGAGGCAGTGTTCCTTAGTTCTTTGGAAGACTGCATTGTGCTCCAAGTTCTTGGAGTGTCCAGGATTCTTTATGTTGGTTTTGATCCAGCAGATGTCCTCGCAACGGCGGAATCCCCATTTCTTGAGGCATTCACGACCCATGTCCAGACCTATAAAGTATATAAAAGCAAAATTATAATTTCAATGATAACTTCTACAACAATATTTTATATATATTTGCAACGTCATTGCTTACTCAGAATTATTAAGTGCCCATTTGAGCATGCGGGCGAGAGAATATATATGCCTTGTTTCAGTCAGGCCTCAGACTCGAAAGAAGAATAGATTTTGAAAAGGTGATTTCTCTATACATTTAAACAAGAATATAATTGATATCAACATTTTACCAAGCTATGGACGCCAAACCTGAACATAGAACATATAAATAAATTCAAAATTGATTACTACTCAAAGATCAATGGAAAGAAGCATTTTAAATATAAGGAAAATGCAGAAAGATAGATAAAATAGATATGAATAAGACACATAATGGAAAATCAAGAAAAGATGGACAATAGAAGCAACAAATTGGACTGGTTCAAATGAAAAAAGAAGGAAAGGAAAACCTAGGAAACAATGGGAAGACAAAATCATAGCTACACCAGGTAAAGAGTGGGAAATACGAGCAAAGAATACAGATTTTTGGTAAAAGCTGGAGGAGGCTTATACCCAAAAGGGGGTTCCTATCCTGGAATAAATAAATAAATAAGAAAATAAAAATGATTAGACATAGATCTCTTTCATATGACGCTGCAAAGTACGATTCTGCATTGCTTGATTATATAAGTATGAATTTAATTTAATGTTACTTGGTACCTTCTGAGCTGCCGCACCACAGGAATATGAAGGACCTGGCCTGCGCTATCTGCTGCAGGTCGAGGGCGAGCACGTCCTGCCACCGCCAGCCGGCGCCCAGTGGCGGCTCCACCAGTATCACGTCAAACTTGTTGCCCATTTGCTTTAAGTCGAATGTCTGTGTAAGTTCAAGATTGATATAACATACAAGTAATTTTAGCTCTACAATAAACAGGTTGCAGACCTTGCCACATGCAAAGGAATATTCTAAGGTAGGTTGACAGTATATGCTGACCAAAAAGAAGAATTGTACTCTACATTTTTCTTAGCGAAAAAGACAACTTTAATTGTAAACATAGATATACACGCATATAAATTTACAATTTCGTTAATACACTACATTTAAATAATTTAATTTAGTATTATTAGTATTTAAGTAATAAAATTACAAAATCTATTCAAATCAGATTTTTTTTATTCAACTTACAATGGCGAACAAGCTGATGGCCCATCTGATGGAAAGTGGTAACCTTCGTCTATAGACATGAGCAGTACCATGGATATAACAGAGTATACTGTTTCGCCTATGATACCCCCCATGCGTTGCTATTCCTGAGGGCTCAGGTGTTATTCCTCTGTACCCTGTAAATTTACTGCGATATTCTATCCTTCAAACCGAAACACAGCCATGCAAACACAATTGCTTCACAGTTGAAATACGAATGGGACAGAGGTGCCCAAGCAAACGACTTTTGTACAAAGTTTCCCTCTGGTAAATTAAAAAAATAATAATTGCCGAACAAAAATTCAGGTAAATAAGGTCTCTTTTAGTATTTTACCAGAGGGAGACATTGTACAAAAGTCGATTGCTTGAGTACCTCTGTCCCATTTGTGTTTTAACCGTGAAGCAGTTGTGTTTGCATGACTGTGTTTCGGTCTGAAGGATGTGATATGGTGTGAATTTACAGGGTACAGAAGAATAATACCTGAGTCTTCAGGAATGGCAACACATTGGGGGTATCATGAGCGAAACAGTATACTCTATTATGTCCATGGTACCGCTCATGTCTATAGGCGACGGTTACACTTACCATCAGGTGGGCCGTATGCTTGTTTGCCACCTGTGGTATAAAAAAAAAAAAAGGTTAGGGAGCTTATCGTGATGAATTCAGCAATTATTGTTTTATTAATCAATCACGATGGTTTCCTGGGGGAACCACGTGGGGGTTGTAATGCTAGCAATGAGGTTGCTAAGTGCAATTACTAACAATCCCTTCCCCCTCCAGATATTTAGAGATAACAAAATACATAGTAAACTTACTTTTAGATCACACTTTAGATACATGGGTGGGGTAGCAGTCTGTGCAATGAGGTCATCCTTCAATTTGATGAGTTCTCTCAGCTTGGGGTACTCCTCAAATCTGTCTGCTAGGCCTACATCTCTTATAAAGTTCTGAGGCCTCTGTCCCGTGTCAACAAAGTGCTGGCAGTAATCATTGTGTGGGTTTGATGATTGTGTTCCCTGGAATAGAAATAATATTCAAATATACGTTAACAAATATTACAAGTCTATAAGTTACGATTTATGAAATTTTTAGTTCTTTAGCTAAAAATATCAATATTAAAAATTAGCGCAATATTATAAATTTACTCTAATAACCTTTAAATACCTTTAAGAACGTAGAGGAGTCAGTATAAACTAAACCATCTGGTTGCTCTTTAGTGACAGGTTTCTCATTTCCGTCGGTACCGGTTTCCGATACCGCTTGCTTTTTCGGAGGGACATCTATTGTAGCACCCAGAGCCTGCCTCAATTCACTAACACTTGATACACCCAGCTGAAATCAATGTACTTATTTTATTTTGACATCGTAAAAGTGCAATAGAAAGCACATTTTAGGTTATGCTCTACCGTTTGTGCCAGTAACTTTTTCCTTTTTTGAGATCTCTCTCGCAGTTCTTTTAGTTTTTCACTCATTGTTGAAACTACAAGTTTCACAAGAATTATTGTTTATATTAATTACATTCATTACATTTTTCTTAGACGCTAAATTTTTCAAGCCAAGCGTAAAACATTTTTAATAACAACATAAATGACAATGACAGAAGGTAAGAGTGACACTGACAGTTGAGAGCAAGCAAATGACCGATCATCAATAGTATTTAAAGTTAAATACAATGAAAGTATTAATTTAATAATAAAAATGAATTACAATTTGATAGAAAATAAAGTACTTAGTTTTTATTATTAAACTTTGTTTAATAACATTTATTAAAATCTTTAATTTTTACATAATATATTTGAGTAACTAGTGATTTAGTATTTAGAAACCGATATCGAAATCCTCGATAGTATAGTGGTCAGTATCCCCGCCTGTCACGCGGGAGACCGGGGTTCAATTCCCCGTCGGGGAGGTCCTTTTTGGCTTTTTCTATTGCTTTTAAATTTTTTTTCTAAATATTTTAAAAAAGTAACTAGTTTCAATTCTCAATAATTTATTAAAAATAAATAGATATAAATAGAATTAACAATAGTGAAAACATCAAGAAATTAATAGTTTTGAAGTAAATTTATAAGAGTCGTTCCAGTTTCAACTGTGGTGTGGTTGTTGTATTATTGAAATAGGGCTACACATGTCGGGTGTAACACAGAGTCCATTTGAGTCTCTCAGCAGACCTAACTTGCAATGGCAGCCCAGCGAGCACCGCAGAGGGTGCACCGCTTGCGGCAACTCGGCTCACAGCCGTACCGACAAACGAACTCTTCGTTAGCTTTCGGACAACGTTCTGAAAGAAAGAATAAATTACAATTACAAGCATTAACTGTCCACTAACCAAAACCAAAATCTTTTAACTTCATTTTAACAGTTTTTTTTTTTTTTACTTTTTAACTACACTGATGTAAATTGGTTCCTTTTTTTAAAAAAAGACAATGTTTTCCGTTCTCGAATGATTATGGCAAATAAATTTTAAATAAAAAGGCGCATTGTAATTGTTTTTTAAAGCGTTTATCAAAATTGCTTCCCACCGAATACCAATTACGATTTATATTTTTAGCTTGGAACAAAATTTTATAATTAGGCGTAAAGTTCATTGACATTAATGTATCGCCTGCCAACATTATGATGACAATTTACAATGTTTAACAATGTAAATTGTCTTTTAACGTTTTATGACAGTAATGTTTATATTAACGCATTTTGTTTTTGTCGTTTATCATATACAGTAATTTTTTTTTAATTGATGTCAATGGAATGGTAACCCCGCCTGTACTATCGGTATACACTGGCAGGGCACCCACTTAATGTCATAAATGGCGCGAAATATTTATTTGCATGTCATATAATAAACTGGGCCCACATGAAGTGGCTATTGATATAGGTGCATTTTCTATTGACATTGTAGATAAGATCTTTTGATTACAAGGTCCTGTGTTATGGTACCAAATGAAAAGAATTAAACCCTTTAAAAATGGCTTGAATGAAGAAACTGGTTAGTTATTCGATATTAGATGTTTTTGTAACTATGCATGCGCAGTGTCATGCTAACTCTTATCCCCTTTTTTTCAAACATTTTTTATGAGTGAATATACATATATAATTCGCATTTATATAGTGTTTCTCAAAAAAAAAAAAAAAACTAACTTTGATTTTGGCAAAACCAGTTCTTTTAATTTAAAAATTAAACTAATCAATTGATTTTGATATTATTTCTATGGGACCAATCTATAACTAAATCCTAGCAGATAAAAAACACTTTTCTAAATCGGTTTACAACTGACGGAGTTATGAGGCAATAAACATGACAATAATACAACTGAATTGAGAAAGTCGATAGAAAATAAACCTTTATTCCAAATTTAAATTTTATAAATTGAGTTTTGGTTGTGCGTTGATAGCTAATCAGTCGGAACAAACGATTTTACCAGTAGAGACAGATATAGATAATATGTTTTAGAAAAGTCAAGCACTGGTATTTTTGTCTGGAATTTACTTACGTAACTTCCTTAGTCAACACACTGCATGTTTTCTTCTTCTATTTTTTTTTCTTTTGTACATAAATAACAATCTAAGTGTTTGTTTCGAATTGGTAACTGAACAAAAATATTTTCGATTGGTTTTTCCGAATGACCCGAGAGAGATTCGAACTAAATGCCAGGCGTCACGGCTTTATTACAATTACGTGAATTCATTATCACGTTCACATAGTACAAGGTCTAACAACTCATAGGTATTACCCATTGATTCAAGCGAGATGTTGAAATTTTTTTGTGTGTTTATTTAATATTGCTTTATTTAAGGCTTTATTTTATTATCAATATGAAAGAGGATGTTGATTGACTGACTGACCTGTATATCAAAGCACAGTCTAAACCGCTGAGTCTAGAATCTTAAAATTTTTTAGCTTTTATGTAACATAAGTGAACAATGAGTAAAGAATTTTGAAAATTCAATTCCTATAAACTATCAAGCGTGACAACGACTGGTATTTTTTTTTTATTGGATGAAAATGGTATGGTAGCCCCGCCTGCGCTAACGGGATACGCTGGCGGAGCACCAGTGAAGGGTGATCGATGAGGATGAAAACAGGCCAGTTAGCCCATCATGATGAATTCATCAGGAATTAACCATGATAGTTTCCAGGGGGAACCGCGAGAAGGTCGACCTGGTTGGGTATATTGCTAGCAATGGGATTCTTAGTCTCCATTACTAACAATTCCTTTCCCCCCAACTACTGGTATTACCCTCCAAACGCAAAGCCAATCTATGGGGGAACCTTAAGTTCACCAGTGGGCTGTTATCGGCTAATATGATGTTGATGATGATGACACTAAGTGGGTAAAATTTCCAAAATCCATGCGTACGAAAAGGGACAGAAACTGGTACAAAAATATTTATAATTAAAGCAAACCTTAAGAGTTGGAATATAGATTTTTTTTTCATTTATTTGGGAAAACTAACAGTGACGAAATAATGAATAATACATAATATTAGTCAAAGAAAACATTGAGTAAATTTGCCACCAACACCGTTTACCACAGTTTCGATTCAAATATAATACAAATAGCTTAAGCAAAGAAGAACAGTTAAAAATTAAGTGAATCTTTTAGAGATTAGCTTTTTAAAAGTGCTTGGGCGTTCATTAATAATATCAACATTAAAGCGTTATATGAATTCACAAGTCTATACAAAGGTAACCGTTTTCCAGAATTTGTACGTCAGCGGCTAGTGGCAAAAAGACTATTTGTAGGTACAGGTTTTCTCCACGCGGTTCCCTCTAGAAACTTTCGTGATTAATAATTGTTGAATTCGTGTCTCACTTGTATATACCAAAAGTGCAGATGGGGCTTTAAATAGTATTTTTTATTGAACTAGAAATTAAGCCCATGAGAGCATTTCATGGTGTCCATGATACCCTTTATACGTTGCTATTCCTGAGGCTTAAGATATTACGATACTATACTCTGTAATTCCACTGCCGTATCATACCGAAATACAGTCATGCAAGCTCTTTAAGCTGCTTTATGTCTAAGATACAACAAGCAAATAACTTTTAAATAATATAATCAATGTTTAAATATGATGATTTCCTACGTGGCAAACAGTTTTTCGCTTCAACGCAATGCCCACTGCGGTGTCTGAGCAGTGGGGGCTTGCAGAGGCATCCACTGGTGCAGATTTTCAGCGGGCACCGTGGTTGAGGGTCCGAGCAGGTTGGCTCACACCAGCCGCAAGAGAAGTACTCCTCGTCTAATTGGCAGTCATCGATATTGGTGACATGAGTGTCCCCTAACGTCATTTCAGCTGAAAACGTTTTTAAATGGTATGTAGGTTTTACCAGAGGGAGACTTCGTACAAAAGTCGTTTGCTTGCTTGGTATCTCTGTCCCATTAGTGTTTCATCCATAAAGTAGTTGTGTTTCGGTATGAAGGTTGGGATATGGCGTGAATTTACAGGGTGCAGAGGAACAACACCTGAGTCCTCAGAAATGGGAATGCATGGGAGGTGTCGTGATCGAAACAGTATACTCTGTTATGTCCATGGTACTGCTCATGTCTATAGGCGACGGTTACCACTTTCCATCAGGTGGACCGTCAGCTTGTTTGCCGTTCTAAGTTGTATAAATAAAATGTGGGTTCTTGATGCCAATCCCATTTTCTGAGTCGCTCCATATTTTTTCTATCCCCTCTATTTATGTTACTACAAAGTTTACATGAAGTGTTTATATTGAAAATGTTTACTGAAAATTCAGTTGAGCATTTAGCGGATGGAAACTCAGATTTTATAACGAAATAAAAATTAATAAATTAATCCATAGGCATATATAGAGGGGGACAACTGAAGCGTGCCCACTCCACGCACGATGTGAGTGGAAAAACCATGGCTGAAAATCTTTTTTAGAGGGCCAGCTTCTCCCACGAAAAAAAAAATTGTCGATCGGAAAATGGCTACACTTCCCCAATTGATGGTTAACCACTCTCTTATTTCAGTTGCAGTCTTAACTCGTCCATATTACATGTTTTATATCCCCTATTCCCAAAGAGGGTTGACGTCAGGCAGGTGGCCGGTCGTAAAACTAAAAACCAAATCTTTTTGTAATATGGTAAAATCATATTATGCTGACCCCAAATGATTGGGATAAGGGTAGGAAGATGATATCCCCTAATACGCCATATACCCAAAAAAAAAAAAATACGATACGCCCAATATAACATGCACTCCGTCACCTATATCAAATAGCAAGAACGGAATGCCTAAATAAATGCCTCATTAATTAAAAAAAAATGTAAACTTAAATTGATTCTGTACAATTAACTGTTGTTTTTCGGTTATATAGGTATTCCAGTTTGCATGCTTTTTGACATTATTGCTAACAGACTAATACGGGAGTAAAGTCGATTATAAAAATCAATTTATTAGCGGTCTCGTAACATAAATATAAAATAAGTACATAATAAAACCGACTTTAATTTCGGCTCAGTTTACTTTAATTTACAGCATGAAATAAATTTTTATGGGTAAAGATTTGTTTAAGCTCAAAATAATGTGAATAATAATATAATTTACGTAAAAGTAGTACTAGAAAGTAAATACTTAGAAGTTTTATACGATAGATTCACAAGAAAAACAATAAGATCAATTTCAACAGTTTATTAAATTTAAATAGTCACAGAATAAATAACTTAGTATAATCTAATACAGTTGATAATAAATTAGCAGTCAATAAATAAATAGAATTAAACATTAAGGCAATTGTTCAAATAATATTGTGTACTTAAGACATAATCAAGATCAACAGACAGTGCAAGTATAAAAGAAAAACTAGTACTGTACAATATTTGTTATAGGAAACGGAAATACACAACCTAAGAATCTATTAATGGAATAAAAAAAAAAAAAGAAATGTATAACATCGACGATGTAATGTTCGTATATAATTAACAAAAAAGAGCAAAATATAATTTAGTATCATCACAGTATTTTGGTTATCAAAACGTTTATTATATCTATATAGGAAAAATCTTAAAACGATGATAGGGACAATAACGGGCCATTGCCCATTATACAATAGGAGCCACAGACAGCTCTCTATGTCGAGGCTGTCTTGATGCCGAAGAAACCGCTGTTTACGTAATCCTTGGATGTGAAGCTGTGGCCCCTCAACGTTTAGAAATCGTCGGAACAGTATGGTCGCTCTGTGAGGTCTGTGAAGATCTTAGAAAGAAGTGTGCTTCTGGGTGGAGCTGGGCTGATTGTACTAGCCATGAGTCATACATACAATGACCCAAATGGGAGGCTTAGCGCGGAAAATAGAGTCCAATTTACATTACATTATACAAGATTTTGCTTTTACTTAATCTACTTAAATTAATCGAAATATGGCAGTGGATAGAAGTTTAGAAATTGATCTATCTTTGTATGCTACTATTCTCGCTACAGACCTTGAGGGCAATTTTCTAGTTTGACACAACTTCCATTAGGCGCTTTATAGAAACCATCATCACAAAAGCAACCCTTCGTACATTGCGCTGGGCATATGGGGTTTGGGTTGCTGCAAGTCTTCTCACAATTTTCGCAGATTTTAAAGACCTGATTAAGTCCGCAAGTTAGCTGGTACGGTAACGGTGTAGGAGTTGCTGGAACAAAAACAACAGATTAATTATTTTTTTGATAAGAGCTTTTCTTCTATATATGCCATCTCCCACTGGAGGTTGGCGACCATTATGGTGATCTTAATCTTGTCTAGTCTCATCCTGAAAAGATAACCGATTATCTTCCTAAACTTTAGATTTTTTAAGCAGTAGGTCCGGCGTCTTCCGGGGACTTTGCAATTCTGGATTTTAGGGGAAAAAGGCATTGTTAGTAATAGGGTCTAACAGCCTAGCATATCTATTTTACTAGCAATACAATATCCAATAGGTCGATTTTTTCGAGGTTTCTCCTGGAAATCGTTGTGGTGGATTATTTTGGAATTCGTCACAATGTGCCAACTGACTTGCTTTCATTTTTACTTATTATGTCTCACTGGTGACCCGCCACGGTATACTAATAGCGCAGACAGGGTTGGCATTTAAGCTTCACTCATTATAAAATATTCCGGATCTTCCCCTGTATTGTGAGGTGTAGAATTATATTTTTTTTATTCCGCATTATATGCCGCATCATTTTATGGCATTGTATGATGTTTAATATTTCTTTTATAGTTATAAAATATAAAAGTGGATTAATGTAGGTGCCAGGTAATACTTAAACTGGCTTATTAAATTCAAACTAGTTGTATTACATCTGACAGAAGAGGCAAGTTTCCGAAATCGGTGTGATCATAAGAAAGCATGAGACTATTCAAGAAAGCCTTTGAAGCTATCTATGTAAGGATAGAGGCCTTTCATACACTGCTCTCACTGTTCATATATAAATAGGTTTTGAGACAGTATATTGATCTATTTTCAAATATACTCGCAGATTTAAATTCCGGAATGGCAAAATCTTTCATTGCTTTATTTTTGTATCAACAATTCCCTATATTAAAATAGACTATTAAGGTAATATTTATTATTTATTTATGTATTAATGTATTAAGTATGTGCCTCTTAACAAAAAAGATAAAAAATATAGCTATTGTAAAAATATACGGATGGTCTAATTTGCTAGATTTTCTTCTGTTACATATTAATGTATCTACATTAGAGATCTCGCTTACACAATTTAGGTAATGTTTCATTAATTTCATTTGATACTAAGCCGACGAGATCGGATTTCACCGTGAGACTGTCTGTGAATAGAGACCGGTGTGTAATGACAAACCAGGCAATCAACAACAGAGATTAACAATTCACAATCTGTTATAATAAAAAGTACATATATTAAAGAACAGATTAATATTTGTATGTCGTTGATGAGGAATTGGATGAGGTAGGGCTAGTTCCAAGTATATTACATTGTTTGGTCTTCATGTATACATATTGGATGCAGAGACTTTTAACTAACCTTTAGGACAATCCTGAAGTTTGACACAGTTTCCATTGGGCGCTTTGTAGAATCCATCATCACAGAAGCAACCCTTGGTGCATTGCGCCGGACATTTGGGGTTCGGGTTACTGCAAGTTTTTTCGCAGTTCTCACAAAGTTTGAACACTTGGTGTGGAGGGCAGTTACGCTTGTCTATTACCGTTATATTATTTGCTGTAACAATTGTGATTGGTTTATTAATTGGTACTCTCATCACCATCATCATCATGATATCAGCCTTTAACTGTCCATTGTCAAACATAAGTCTCCCCCTTGGGGAAATTTATCCAGTAGTTGACATGCTTGGCAGGCGTATTGGCAACCGCAGTTAGGCTTTGAAAATATTTTATGAGAGATGCTGCTGTCCATCCCTCACCCTCCCTTAGTCGCCTCTTACGACACCCATGGAAAAGGAAGGGGTGGCCTATTCTATGCCGGGACCACACGGCAAATGGTACTATAATAAATGTCAATACTACAATAGGATTTATATCCGTATCTAGAAGTGATTCTCGCCGAGCGGTTAATTATTATTCGACAAATAATTTCATCGCTAACCTTGATGTAAGCGCAGTCAACAATGATCTTGTATTTTGAGCAGGAATTTAAAAATTATTATGTAATTAGCATACATGTTGGTCATACGCAAAAATAATATCCACTTACACTCAAACTGCGCGAACTTGGAACATTGGTCATACTTCACACATTTTCCGTCCTTGTCTCTCACTAGACCCTCTTTACAAAAACAGCCCTTGGAGCACTGAGCTGGACAAATTGGGTTTGGATTGTCACATGTTTTGTTACAAGATTCGCATAACCTGTACTCTTCATTCAATGGACATTCAACGCCATCTGGATTTGTTTTGTATACTGAAAAATATATTTTTATTATTATAATAATATAGATTTTATAGATTAAACCGGTTTAATATTTTTTTTTGTGTTTATTCATTACAAACAAACTATCAAATCTCTCTCCGTTAACTTTTAACTGTTAAACATAAGGGGAGTTTTACTAGTAGCTGTCACGCTTGGCAAGCGGGTTGGCAACCGCATTTAGGCTTTTAAAGGGTGACCCGCGTGCAGGTCGACCTGACAGAGTACATTGCTAGCAATGGGACTGGTAGTCCGCATTACTAACAATCTCTTCCTCCAAACTAATTATAATTTTATATATAGAATGACATTTAGTGACGTAAAAGATCCGTTTAAGATCTGCCAAAAAATAACCAATAGATTTTTTATCGGAGGCACATTACTAATTAGAAGGCGCCACCCTCATACAATTCTAAAATTCTTTCTCTATCGAATGTGTACATAAGGCTTCTCTAATACGGGCAGTTTTCTATGCGAATTGAGTCAACTGAAGTCCAAATTTTTACATACGATATAATTTAAGATTGTATTGCACAAAAAAAAAAAGACTTCTATTGTAGCAAAATCATTTATTTTTACTTAAAAACTAAACTACTAAACCAGGGGGAAAGGGATTGTTAGTAATGGAGACTGAGAATCCCATTGCTAGCAATATACCCAACCAGGTCGACCTCCTCGCGGTTCTCCCTGGATACTATCATGGTTAATTCCTGATGAATTCATCATGATGGGCTAACTGGCCTGTTTTCATTCTCATCTATCACCCTTCACTGGTGCTCCGCCAGCGTATTCCGTTAGCGCAGGCGGAGTTACCATACCATTTTCACCCATTAAAAAAAATACTGAACCAATCTGTACGAGTGAATATATCCTTTAAAATAAAAAAAAAAAGAATTTTGCAAATCAGTTTGTAATTGACATAAGCTAACAAATAAAAAAATACAACCAAACTAAAAGCTACCTTATTTTTATGCGACTTACAATAGCAAACAAGCTGACGGCACACCTGATGGAAAGTAATAACCATCGTCTATAGACATGAGCAGTACCATGGACATAACAGAGTATACTGTTTCGCCCATGATACCCCCCATGCATTGCTATACCTGAGGACTTAGATGTTATTCCTCTATACCCTGTAAATTCACTGCCATATCCCACCCTTCAAATCGAAACACAGCCATGCAAACACAACTGCTTCACGGTAGAAACGCGAATGGGACAGAGGTACCCAAGCAATCTACTTTTGTACAAAGTTTCCCTCTGGTAGACTCCCTCCCTATTCCTCTCCTTTATGAAGTCGGTTTAAAATCTAAAGATAACTGCCCATATACTCACCGATGGTTGGACAATCTGCCAATTTAATACAATGACCAGTTACATTCCTGACTTCTCCCTCCTCGCAGTAGCAGCCAATTCGACATATACCCTCGCAGCGAGGCACAGGATCCACGCAGGTCTTCTGGCAGCCCCCGCATGTTAGCAATCTCTCGTTACTGCGACATAATGTGCCCACTTGAGCTGAAATACGTATAGATACATTATTATGATATTGTTCAAATCTTATTGAATTTTGTACAAGAAAATTTTGCTCAGCAAATTAAAAGACACGCTTGCTCTACCGAAAATGAAATTAAAAAAAAATATAGCCAGTATCACTTGGAATGATGTAAGAATTTTAACGATGCCTTATACAGGGTACAGAGGAATAACACCTGAGTCCTCAGGAATGGGAACGCATGGGGGTATCATGGGCGAAACAGTATACTCTGTTATGTCCATGGTACTGCTCATGTCTATAGGCGACCGTTACCACTTTCCATCAGGTGGGCCGTCAGCTTGATTGCCATTCTAAGTTGTATAAAAAAAAACATTCAATTCTGTTTAGTAATTTAGCAGTTTATATATTTATGATATATGAACTCTGAAAATATTTTATTCGATATGGCCGGATATAAAATACGAGTATAATAATATAATGTGACAATTCCATTTGCGGTGTAAGCTGGTGGGAATACCAATGAATGAGGTGCGAAAGAAGTCAGGTCAGTTAGCCTATCGTAACAGTGGAAATAGTGTGGAGGTCGACCTGCAGTGAAATTGTTAGATCTCATTAGATCTCCACTGCATACGGTAAGCGACCTCTGCAGCCCCTAAGCGCTCAAGGCATGACTTAAATTTGACTTCTGCATTATCATCAACTTTATCACACGAATATAATAAATAATATATATAATTGCTTTGCCGAGCCAATATACCATGTGGTTCCGGCATAAAATAGGCCACCCCATCCTTTCCCGCAAGGGTCGTAAGAGGCGATTAAGGGAATTTAAGGTTGAGGGATGGGTAGCAGCGTCCCTTTTAAAAACATCATCAAAGCCTAACTATGGTTACCAATCCGCTTGCCAAGCGTGGCGACTACTGGTAAACCCCCCCAAAAGGCAGATAACGGCTGGCATGATGATGATAACATACAATTCTCTCTCTTTTCATTTAAGAGTTTCCTCTTGTCTTGTCCTCGTGTTGTGCAACTAATTCATACATTATCTTCCAGCCAGCTCTATCCCATGCCGTATCTTTTGACTTCCCTATAAGACATGACATACAATTCTATATGATTAAATTACTAAGTTCGAAGAAAATGATTTGCCTCGAAATATGGATTTCATTGGGCATGCTGCAGCTGTAGGAAACACAATGGCCGGTATCGTCAATACGGGCAACGATATCGATTTTGGGTTGAAACCGTTCCTTATGGTAATCTGTGCTGAAGATTTATGTTTAGCGGTAGATAAATGGTTGAAATAATGAAGAATGTGTAGATCTGCGGCGGAATAGTCCATGATATTAAGATTGTTGCGTGCGGTTTGCTTTAGATGGGCTTCATGCATGTGATACTTGACGTAAGATATATATTAGTAGGAGTACATGCTAAGAGTCTGTATATGAAAAAAAAAACAGAACCCTTACTAGTATACCATATATGTATGTACATAATTTTAAAATAAATATATATACATAATAATACAAATACAAATAATAATGGTGCTGGCGAAAGATGCTGCGAATTTCCTGGAAAACGGACGTACATTTCCATCCTGGCGTAACTCCGAATTAAAAATAGGCTCTCGTCTGCTATCAGAGAATTTTCGGATACTTCGGCTATATTGCTCGTCGACAGTCCGATAATCCAGACAAGCTAATGGTTGTAGGCAAGATAGAGGGAAAAAAGACCACGCGGACGATCACCTAGTCGATGGTCGGACCAAGTAACCGCCGTTACGGGACTGTCAATTGCAGCTGCCCTGAGAGGCTGAAGACTGTGCGAAATGGAGAAATATCATAAGAGAAGCAACAAACACCTTTCAAGGATACGACCTTCAGTAATGAAATGGATGAAGAGAGAGAGAGAGAGATGGATAATAATGAAATATTAATAAAAAAGTACTTTATGGGATGGAGGAGCTACGATCAGTAAACACATCTTGGTTACGTGGACGAAGTGTTATTATAAATAAGAAATATGTTTTTGTTCTTTAATGAAACAGCTAAGATATGTTTTGTGGTCGAGGTTTCTACAGCTACAAAGACAATGTGATTTTACAAGTCGTGAAAATATTAACATTCCACGATCGGTGTCAATCATACATCTACAGCAGTGTTTTTCAAAGTGTTGGTTTCGCGACCCTTTGGGTCCCCGAGCCTCTACAAGGGGATCGCAGAAAGTCGCGAAGCAGTGAAAAATCAACAGTTCCATAAATGCATTAATTAATCAGTAATACATAATGATATATATATATATATATATATATATATATATATATATATATATATATATATATATATATATATATATAATAGACATCGATTACATGTCTATTTTAGATACTTTATTATATATTATTTATTAACCTAACTGTGAATATAAATACAACTGTACGGATTTCATAATTTTACTATATAAAATTCATACACATTCGAAACTGTGGAGGGTAGGGGGTCGCAAGATTACATGCTAAGGGGGTCGCAAGATATTTTTACATAATAAGGGGGTCGGGTCATGAAAAAGATTGAAAAACACTGATCTACAGGCTTACGTACACACTGTTTAGTAAACAATTAGAAAGCAATCACTGAAAAGTACATCAACACTACCGTTTTTAACCGACTTCTAAAAGGAGGCTGTCAATTCACTTGTACTTCTTGTGAGCGCTTTAAGAGATGATGTTCATCATATCAACGGTTAACTGGTGAACACAGGCCTCCACCAAAAGGGGGTTTTGTCAATAGTTGCCACGCTTGGTAAGCGGGTTGACAACCGCAGTTAAGATTTGGCGATGTTTTAAAAGAGATGTTGCTGCTCATCCTTCGACTATTAAGTTTCCTTAGTCGCCTTTTACGACGACCACAGGAAAGACAGGAGTGGCTAATTGTATGCCAGGGCCACACGGCTAATTTTAAAAGATATTGGGATCCATTCTAAGGCGTAATTTCTCTGAAACCATAATTTCACTATCACATAGCAGCAGTATTTCCGAACCGATACGACAACATGACCTTCAAAAAAGAGCATATTCCTTTTTAAAAGGCCGGCAGCACACCTGCAATGCCGTAGGTGTTGTGGGTGACCATGGGTGGCGGTAGTCACTTACCATCAGGTGAGCCGAATGCTCGTTTGCCCCCTGTGTTGTAAAAAAAAACATTTTCTGTATCACTATTTCGATATCACAGCGAAATCTTAACACCAGTATAACTAATTTTCAAACAGATTTAAATAAAAAATATAAGTATTTTAATTTACGGTGATCCATAAAACAGTAATTTCGAAAAATTATCAAATTAAAATGGTAGGTTAAGAGATAAATTTAGGGAAATGACGCCTCAGAATCGGTCCCATTCTTGCTCATTTTGAACCGATTTTGGCAATTCTTTTTGGAATCTATAAGAATTACCCCCGTGTTGATCTCCCGTATTGATTATATTGCTATATATAAAAAAAAGCGACAGCTGTGTTTCTTGCCCGTTCTTCTCAGCTGATATTGCATCCAGAATGGGGCGGTAAATTCTTAAAAAAAAATTGTTTCAGAAATGCTTATTGTTGAGTTTACTTGAATAAAAACCATTATTATATTAATGACACGAGAAGTCTGTAGTCGTCACAATGTATATGATGATGTGAATGTTATTATACACGTTTATAGATAACGGTTGCTACATTCCATCAGGTAAGAACTCTGCAAGTTATATAAAAAAATACGTGATCACCATAGGATGTGGCAGTTAAAAATGTTATGTCAATAAACGTACAATTTCTTGACCGTTAAGTTCTCTTAGTCGCCTCTTACGACACTTACGGGAAAGGAAGAGAGGTCCTCTTGTTGTCTTCTATGTCAGGACCACATGGCAGCAGCGTCCCTCTTAAAACATCACTAAAGCCTCCCTGGGGTTGCCAGGGGCCCTCCCTCCCTCCCATTGTTAGTAATGCGCATTACCACTCACTGCTAGCAACAAACCCTGTCAAGTCAACCTCAACGTGGTACCTCTGGAAACCATCGTGCTAAATTCCAGGTGCATTCATCACGAAGAACTATCTGCTCTGCCTTTTCATGCTAATCATCCCTTATTGATGCCCGGTCAGCGTGTACTATTGGTGCGGGAGGTGTTGCCATACCATCTTTTTATTTATTATTATTATTTCAGCCGTTAACTGTCCACTGCTGGACAGCCTTCCCCATAAGGGGAGTTCCGCCAGTAGTTGCCACGCTTGGCAGGAGGGTTGGCAAGCGCAGTTAGGCTTTTAGAGATGTTTTAAGAGAAACGCTGCTGCCCATCCCTCGCCCTCTCTTAGTCGCCTCTACGATACCCACGAGAAAGGTAGGAGAGGCCCATTCTATGCCGGGGCACATACAGCGAGCCATACCATTATCATCAATTAAAAAATAATTGCGGTTACCAACCCGCTTGCCAAGCGTGGCAACTACTTCTAAAATTTTTTTTTTCTATGGGAAAGGCCTATGTGCAGCAGTGGACAGTCGATAGTTGAAATGATGATTTTTTTTATACAACTTAGAATGGCAAACAAGCTGACGGTCCACCTGATGGAAAGTGGTAACCGTCGCCTATAGACATGAGCAGTACCATGAACATAACAGAGTATACTGTTTCGCCCACGATACCCCCCATACCTTGCCATTCGTGAGGACTCGGGTGTTATTCCTCCTTACCCAGTAAATTCACGCCATATCCCACCCTTCAAACCTAATCACAGCCATGCAAACATAACTGCTTTACGGTTGAAACACGAATGGGACAGAGGTACCCAAGCAATCGACTTTTGTACAAAGGCTGGTGTGATGAAACATACAATACTGGATTCACTAGAATTGCAATAAACTTTATACAATCTAGTTAGCAAACAACCCACTAGCCATAACATGACGCGTGCGATGTTACAATACTACCGGTTATATTGCATCTGTGCCACGCCCCGCGGCGTCACCCGACCACAGTGGCTATGTGTG